TTATTAAATCAAGGCATACTGAATATGTTTGACTGTACTTTCGTAAGCATTAAATGCTGAAACTTTATTAGATAAACAGCTTTTAAGTGTGTGTGAATGTAACACAAGTTCTGCTGTATAACAAATAAAGTGTCAGTCATTTCATCTACCATATCTGTTCTGTTATTAGAAATTGTAAGGTAACGGGATACGTATCGTATCACCACCATTGTATCGTGATAATAATCGTCTCACAGGTTCCTTGCCAATACTTTCATGATATATCGTCTCGCCTCATTAAACTGGTATCGGGATATATCGTCTCGCCACTTAGGCCACGATACACAGCTCTAATATACTCACACAAGTTGCTTAAGTTGGTTACACTATATGAAGAAATGAGAACACTGAGAAATGTTTAATAAAATGTAGCAACTTGTGAACAGGTCTTCGTTTTTAAAACCGAAATATTGGTACATACAAAAAAGCACGAGAAAGTGAGAGAGTTTGGTTCAAGCCGCTTTAAACAGAATATACTAATTCAGTGATATTTCGGTTTGTACGCAGTTCGAAGTTTACGTTGCTTGTTCTCGTTGATCAGCATAATTTTCCACATTGCCGAACTAAGCTACTTCGTTAACAAAACACACGTCAGAAACTCTATACACAACTCACATACGTTTTGTTCTTGACGACAGTCAGAATTTGACACATCATTGACGTAATGGTGCCTGACGCAGTTCCCTCTTGTCACTTGTTCATGTGACACTTCATTTGCCTTTGCAAGTGTTTGTGACATCACCTTTTTCGTGAACCCCATGGGATCGTGACAGTTTGATAATAATTCAACTCATGACTATGATAGAGTCGGAATCGAACAGGGGACGGAAAGTGTTTCTAAAGTTTTAAATTTAATATGTGTCGCTTTAATTCTGAGTGTTATATTCAATATTTGGCTTGTCGTCAAATGTTGGTGCGTCCCACCAAGACTTAGGTGCATCTCCCCACATATTTATGGATGCGATATACCGCGACATTGCTGCAAAAAGAAAAAGTGGTGTAAAACCCATTTGTATCCTCCATTTTCCCCAAAGATTTGCTAAAATAGTGTAAGCCGGATTCCAAGATTTCAATGCAACTTGTTTTAGGCGGGTTAGGACGCAGGGCTAGTGAATGGATTCATTATTGTGGAGGAACTAGGGGTTTGCAGGTACACTAGATTAGAAAAGACAGATCGTTTTGTTTGTTGCTAACTTGCGGATGTGCTGTGGCATATATGACAGATGACTCTTGATATTCCTGGATACTGTGCAGCATTCCTATCCCAAAACATCACCAATCGCATAAGGCGAGTCATAAACATGTCATACTATGATAGATAGGATTAAGAATAGGTTTTACGTGTATGTACCCCAGTGATTGGCATTAGAGGAAAAGACAGGTTTACTGTGCAGCCTGAAGGGGACTGGCTTCAGTCAAACCTCGCTTTTATACGACTCTTTTCCACAAACAACCTCTCAACCTCAAACGTATCTCCTTTTTTCATTGTATTTTGCCTCCTGCTCTTCAGTGTCCCCTTTGTTAATGTCACATTGGGTTTCTTGATGAATCACTAGTCTGAACTTTGTGAAAGTGTGCGTGTAAAATTAGAGATGACATTCTTTAAATAGTTATCTATGTACTGTGCAATTAGCTTAATGTAAACAGATATTATAATGTTGATCCATCTAGGCGTAGCTCGCTATCGTCGTCTTTAATATTATCCAACAGCCAGGTATCTTGGTGAATAAGGAAGGTGGCCCAGTTGTGTTAGGCGACGTAATTCGCCGTGCAGAGTTGCTGCCCTTTAGGAGTGCGAGAAACTTCTAAAATGAATAGGTTCGGGTTAATGCGACGTACTAAAACCAAAATAGTGTGTTTTCAGCATTAAAGTAACCTCACTCACTCACGAATATTACAGTCACGTTCGGGAAGATCAGTTGTTCATAGCTTGAGAAACTCGTTAAAACGAATTGCTCAAAATCAGACAAATGGACCAACAGTCTCCATCATAATGTTTACAATTGCAATATTGAGTTTAACAGTTTCACATGGCTACCCCCCACAGTCACGGAGTAGCAAGTATTATGCGTTCACGTATTTTGTTAGGACGAATCCGGGGACTGAACCTCTGCTTTTACGTTCTCAGGCTGACGTTATATCCACTAGCCCGCAATCTGTAGTGAGCGGGCCTTTGTTACTAATGTAACCTGATTTATCAACTATTGACTGCAAAATGAAGGAATAATTTTACAGTGATCATAATGACTAGTGACTGGAGTGATCATATTGAAGTATATTGGGTGTCATATTCCCTTATCACAGAAATGATCGCGCGGGGACGGGTGTCCCAATCATATGACTGACTGACTGACTGACTAAGTTTGGTTTTACGCCGCTTTTAGCAATATTCCAGCAACATCACGGCGGGGGACACCAGAAATGGGCTTCACACATTGTACCCATGCAGGGATTCGAACCCGGGTCTTCGGCGTGACGAGCCAACGCTTTAACCATTAGGCTACCCCACCGCCCCCACCAATCATATGAGACACCGTGCAGAGTTCCGTCCCTTGGGCACGCCAGAAACCTATGGTTGCATGGTTAGTCAGCACAATACCGTGCTAGTGGGTTTCACTGGTGATACATCACCTCGTGCTTTCCACCCACATAAACCATACCGCGACATTGTATGACTGGACTACCGTTCACAAGGGCGTTAAACTCAACTCAGTTTAAACTGAGGTATGACATCAATGGTCATATTTAAGTACGGTGAATGTACGAATGACAGAAAGGGGAACCAAACTGGAAGCCGTTGTACCAGGGATAATCTACGTTATATAGTCTCGAGCTCCCTGGTTGTACAAAGCGATCTTAGCGCTAAGGTGATCGTAACTCTTATACCATAACATGGACTTCAGACTGGCGTAGAACTAAGGTTGCTTTGTACAAGGACACTCTGGTCAACTGCTAAATGTCCTCAAGCAGCGTTCGAAATTAACGTCGGCCCTTAGGCCCGAAGCCGACTGAAAACCACTCGGACCCTTTGCTTTTTGTTTCTGCAGGTCTTTATGACCGACAGCTTTTTCATCCCCAATAACTAAGAGTATTATTTTTCAGAAAATATAATTCAGTAAGTTTTAGTTTTTATCTCGATCAGCAGCTGTTGTCTATAAGTGAAACGACTATCATTTTCGAGGAAGCAGTTTAGATTAGTGCATGAGATATGATCTTTTGCTGGTGATTTTGCTGTAAATGAAGACCAGTCAGTCACAAGAGTTAAATAAACTTTTTAACTCAGTTGTAAAATTTTTGTTTGCTGGGAATTACTTAAAATGTAGCTTCTAAAATATTGGGCCTACACATTCTGATCAGGACCCACAACTTCTTATGGTTCTGGGTCCTTAGGGCTGCAGCTTTTCAGGGTTAAGGGCAAACACTGTCCTCAAGGTGTCCATATTTCATTCATATCGATATCGGGGTATACGACCCGGTAACACATCAACACTGGAATGTTCTTTCAGTCGCTCTCTATGTAGAGTGTTGGCGTCATCGGGAGATCAGTTCTCAAGTTGGTAACACCCACATTGTGACCTTACCTCGAGCAGATAACGCTGAGTGTTTTCAGGGAATATAGGAGGGAAAACCAAATAGTGTGTACAACGAGAATGATAAATAACTCTGTAAATATACTGCCTGGTAAACCGTAGTGTCAGTTCTAAAATTATTTGTAGCTATGAGTAAAGTTTAAATATATATTAGGAAAACAATGAATTTATCGATCCACTTGATGACAAATATACTGACGTAAAAGGTGAATTGGTGACCAGAAATATAGAAAGGCGATATGGGAATAGCGAAGCGTATGAAACTGAACGTACTCCTGTTCCAGAGTCTATTTTACAAGTCACTAAATCATTTCATTAGTCGCAGTTTTGTCACATACATATACATGTCCGGCTGTTTATTGAATAATCTAATCCAAAGATAAAAATATGTACAGGATGTATCTTCAATGTCATCTCCCCAGCGAAAACCCCTCTCGACAAAACTTTATCAGATGACAATGAAACGTAATCTCGACGTACCCATAAAGTCTGTTATTGACAATTACTTTGTAAACAAAAAATAGTCCTCGGATATGATTAGGGGCGGTGGGGTAGCATAATGGTTAAAGCGTTGGCTCGTCACGCCGAAGACCCGGGTTCGAATTCCACATGGGCACAATGTGTGAAGCCCATTTCTGGTGTCCCCCGGCGTGATGTTGCTGGAATATTGCTAAAAGCGGCGTAAAACCAAACTCAGTCAGTCGGTCAGTCGGATATGATTATTTCACTGTCAGATTTACAACAGATAAACACGTATTTTACACAGAGGTGGGTTTATTCGTTCAGCAACCTCTACTTATAAACAAATATCGGTGTATTGCGTTGTTTTACTGAACTCAAGTTGGTGTGCACTTACAATAAAATGGCTGAATCATTGAAGTGACTACACAGTTCGTGACATTATTTCTTGTTTAAAAATGAAAATAAAACAGAAAATATTATACACCAGAAGGAACTGTGTTCCCCCCGAAACAAAATGTTCAACATCAGTCAGTAAAAGAAGTGAAAAAGTTGTCACTCCGTCTTGAAATGGCAAAAGAAATGATAGAAGCGCCCGTAAAATACACTAAAATATCTGTTCCACTGGCATGGGCACTTGGTTCCGATCATATTACTGTTCTACCTTATCATGGCGTGTAAATTTAATATTGAAGAAAGCCAAGAGGACCTGCGACGGAATGATCTTATGGTTTGTGCTGAGGAACAAAGAGCACCCTTGTCACAGACTGCTACTATCACCCTAACAACATTTTCTAGTGACAGGTGGTTCCAGTATGCATGTACTATTTTCCTTTCATCGCGAGGAATATTTTGTGACTAGTTCATACATCCTTAACATTCCCTGGTGTAAAAGAATGTCAAAGGTGTCAGTTTCTTTTACTTCTTTATTGTAAATATGATAAAGTGATATGGTTTCAAAACTACATTCATTTATGCATGTGTACTGACATATTTAAATATATTATTGTATTTAGAAAACCACACAACAGATGCATAGCAGATGGAATACACATTATTTCATGACAGCTTTCATACCATATCCACTTGAATACATAACTATGGTATGATGTAAAACAAACACAAAGATAACATGATAAACATACATACATAAGAAAACATGTATAACATTGTAACAGGATTATGAAAATTATATGGGCAAAACAACCTAACAAGTTAATGAGGACAAAAATTAAACCACATGTTGCCCAAACACTCATACCCTTGTACACAAGAATACCTACCTGGCATATGTCAAATAGTGGCTAACTTGAAATAAAAGTCACACTTTAACGATAGTTTTTATGTGTAACAAACTGTTCCAATACTTTGATAAAAAGAGGAATGCATAATCATAAAAGATATTGATGCAAAGTGTAACATGGTATAAAAAATATTCACATCATGTATATTGCAATTGATAAATATTACAGAGCTTGTATACTCAACCTGATTTCACAATGCTGCCAAAAAGGTAAACAAGGAATAAGGATAGTCCCTTGGAAAATACTCTAATCACAGTCAAATTCAATTCCCCGAAGTCACTTGACTTATGCTGCATACTAGTCGTTCTGCATTAATAAAGTTTAAAAAGAAATAGTAAATGTTTTCTATCAAATATTATACATTCATGTATAGCACTCAGTCAGACAATTTGAAATCTGTATCTGAAATATATAATGCAACACGGCCTAAGCTAATATCTGTGGTATTGAAAAGACAATACACTAGTTGATATTAGTTAACTAGTTATGACATCTCTTATAAATGCTGCCTCATTCAAGAAAACATAACAACATAGTGCATAATTGATAAATTGCACTTAAACGTTTGGATGAAACAACTGATATTCTCCACATTAAATACTCCATTATTTAGAATATCACCGTAACTTGGTCATGTTTAATATAGATGGTACAGAAGATTTGCATCTCTTTGATTTCCAGGGAGTGACCATGGATGCAGGTCAGCTAAGGGATGCAAGTCAGCAATCAATTTTACCAAAATGGCTTTTGGTGAGTAGAACTACAAACATTTACAACTTTGTAGAAACAAATCAATAATGTATGGTGCTGACAAAAATCAAAACACAATCAGGGACAGGATTGAATGGTAGTTCTCATCAGCTCATGATGGTTTAGATGTCAGTCACTGGCTTGTTTGGTTCAGACTTGATACCATCAACATACAGCTGGAATATTCCTGAGTGAGGAATTAAGCATATATTTTTCATCAACTGCTTCATTGTGGGCACAAATACAACTTGTTTGTAACATCAATAAGTGTTCATGCATATCGACCAACAGGTTGACTTCTGTGAAGGGGTGACAGTTCATAAATTTTGGTGCACTTTATTTCTTAATACAACCACAAGTAACATATATAAGAAAGAATAATCTTGGAATTATAGATTATCCATTCAAAAAGGAATTTAGGCTAATTCTAACGTCTGAAGGTTTGAAATGACATCAGTTAGTTACTGAGAAAATACAAAATGCTATTCCCCAAACCCTTTCTCTTAGATGGATCTTACTTATGTTCCTCTGCCTGAATAAACAGGATCCTCCTCTCCACCCACCCCACCTCACTCTCCATCCCATGTTTCTTGTAGAATTCCAGCAGCTTCTTGTACCGATCGGTCACATCCATCCCTGTCAGGACCTGCAACTTGTGGAGGTCCACTGGACACAGATGCATGGGCTGGCGGAAATCCTCAGCCAGGTGGCCAGACCCGTTCATACAACAGTCAAAATATATACAATGCCCAATGCCAAGAAGATGACAAATTTCATGGACTACAAGTTTACAGCTGCGCTGAAGAATAAGCTGTCTTCTGTCTTGATCTGACACACTCTCAGTTTTGTTAATATCATACCAGAATTCAGTGGAGAAAGTAAGTCTTGGGTCATATCTGTGCACACTAAAGATGGCAACATTTTGTTTTCCAGATGCCATTCCTGCAACAAACAAATCTGTATCACCCCCATATAGATCATACATGGTAAGCCCAATTAAACCCAGGGCATCAGGGGGCAGATTCCGGTTCAGTTCAGAGAGAACGACTCCAACATCCATCTGGAAATGTTTGAACTCTGAATTATACCGGGTCTTTATCACAGGACTAACATCAGGATCATCAAGCAGGACAAGTTGTTGGTTTGAAAATTCAAGCTTCAGCGCTGGCAGTGTTTTTATCGGCAGACATAGGTACCTCCTTGCGTAATCAACAAGCTCAGCAAAATCAAAACAAGAATTTTCATCAAAGTTCCCGACTTGCACAACATAAATTTTTCCTTCTGGGTACTTCTCACACAATGTCTTTCCATCAGGGACAAACTTGTGATCCATCCTCTTGTACTTTATGTTTGACATCCAAGGGCAATGTTCAACATAATCTGAAAAGGACTGTCCTTTCACGTTATACTGAGCCAGCCAATCATCAATAGAGGTTGGTCGGGGAATGGCAGCAAAGACAGTGATGTCTGATATTGGACGGTACTGGGGCGGGATGTTGTTTGTATCAAATCCTATGGCATCTGTTCTTTCCTTAATGGTAGGAACTTGGAATCCTTTAACATAAGGCACATATCTTCTGGACTTCCTGGACCTGAACCTGCTTTTCTTCCTTGTTTTACCACTAGCTTCCATTTTCTCAAGCGGATCCTGAGACATGTGAGTATCTTCTAAGTCTAGAAAGGAGAATGGCCATGCGTAAAGACTCAGTCAACTGAACAGGTCAGAGAGAGTAGATTCAATGTTTTTCAAATGCGATCATGTTGCAAGGGGATTTTTATCAACTTTAACAATAAATAAGATAATGTCTTGAAATATAAGGCAAGGTAATCCAAAAACTTTCACATCATATACTGTGGCTGTTTGGAACGGACAGTGTAATATTTTGTGGTGGTGAGGGAACACATTTTGGGAAAAAGATATTTTACAAATTCCAGTGTCAAATTGTTAACTCAGACTTTGCTATGACATCAAAGAGAGCAATGTTCACTGAGAACAATTTTCACAGAGACAATGTCTAATTTCACACAGGCCACTATGATTACAACTTCATGACTGCAACTTAGATCCAATTATAGAGTTTCTCAAATTTTTACTTTAAACTTTTACAAAACAAACAAAAGTTGAAGTATGAGAAATACAGACAACAGACATATTTGGATCCAAACCTTATAAATAATCACCATGTGATTTCAGTTGAATTGCCTTCCCCTGTTTCTGTGCCTCTTCCTGAATATACAGGATCCTCCTCTCCACCCACGCCGCCTCACTCTCCATCCCATGTTTCTTGTAGAACTCCAGCAGCTTCTTGTACCGATCGGTCACATCCATCCCTGTCAGGACCTCCAGCTTGTGGAGGTCCACAGGGCACAGATGCATGGGCTGGCGGAAATCCTCAGCCAGGTGGCCAGACCCGTTCATACAACAGTCAAAATAAATACAGTGGTCGATCCCCAGAAGATGATTGATTTCATGAACAACCAATTTACAGCTTCTCTGGAGAACCAGCCTCTGTCTGTCCTGGTCAGAGACCTTTTCGGTCTGTTTGATGTCGTACCAGAACTCCTTAGAGAATGTCAGCCTTGGGTCATACCTGAGTACACTGAAGACAGCAACATTGTGATTGCCAGCAGCCATTCCAGCAACAAACAGATCTGTATCGTCACCGTACAGGTCATGCATTGTCAGACCAATCACACAGAGAGCATCTTGCGGAATCTTCCTCCTCAGTTCTCGGAGAACTGATACCACATCTATCTGCAGATGTTTGCTTTTGGAATGATAACGTATATCTATGTTAGCACGACGGGCACGGCTCTTTCTACCTGATGGATGAACCGACGCCTCTTCAGTTAGAAAAAGCTGATCTTTTGAAAATTCTAATTTCATTTCTGGTAAGACTGCCACAGGGAGGCACAGAAATCTGTTTGCATAGTCAACAAGATCATCAAACACAATACCTGACTTGCCATCAAAGTTTCCAACTGGCACTATGTAAATCTTTCCCTCTGGATATTTCTGTTTCATTGTTGTCCCTTTGGATACAAATCTGTGTTTCATGCCTGTGACCTTCCTCGTAGACAACCATGGACATTCATCAAGAAATGCTGAGTACGTCTGCCCTTCTTCGTCGTACTGAGCCAACCAGTCATCAATAGATGTTGGTTGTGGAACTGATGTGAAGAAGTTTGTGTCTGAAGAGGGATGGTACTGAGGTGGAATTCCATCAACATCAAACCCGATGGCTTTCATTCTTGCAACCTTTGCCAGGCACCTTGAATCCTCGGGCATAGGGTACATATCTAGAATCTTTCATTTTTGTCTTGGATTTGCTAGATCTTGACTTTCCACCACCTTCCATCTTGTGCTGGTAGATGGTAGTGTTCTTGTTTGAACAAGAGTCAAGTTGTCAGGAACTGTAACAAAAAGATGAGATTTACTCTACTTTAAGTAAACAATGTTGATTTAACTTTTGTCTGTTTTCTTTCCATTATTACTGATAATGGAAAGTGAAATCATTTTCAAAATCTTTGACAATGACATTTTGTCTTCAAATGATTAATTTGAGCAATTTCTTTTGATTCAAAACTTTTCAATTTTCATATTTCCTGATCATCCATGTACGAATAAAAAATATATATTTCAAAAGCATGGACTCCTAGTCCTGGTGGCACACATCATATTTGTATATGCTCTCACATCAACAATGATAAAATTGTCAAGATTGTTTAATGGTAACTTGTACAGGCCTTTATACTTTCATAATATTTGTTTTCACAACAGCATTTTTGGGACTGTGTACATGAAGTTTCTGCATCATGTTTCAGGATCTGTTCACCAAGGAGAAAATGGGTACCTGGTGGGATGAGTCATATGACTATTAACCTTCTAATGCCTCACAAGCAGCTTGGGTTATCCAGGGTAATAATGTCAATATGTTGTATACTCTTAGAGCATGTCCGTGCAGCATGGAGATCAGCACAATAAAAGTGGCCTTATTATTATTATCATACACTTTGTGATTTCAGAGAAGATATGAGTGAGCTTAATTTTACGCCGCTTTTAGCAATACTCAAGCCACATCATGGCAGGAGTATCCAGAAAGGCCTTCACATATTGTCCCCATGAGGGGACTTGAACGATGGTCTTCAGCGTGACGAGCAACCAACCACCCTGAGAAGATATGAAGAAAATGGTATCAGAGGCACCAAGTTGAATGCAAAGACCAAAAGTGTTACATAAATATTAAGCATAATACCAAACCAGAAATACTCCCTGTTCATAATATAACCCTGTAGTAACTGCCATGTAAGATATTAGAATAGGACTGCTGGACCATCCAGATTCAGCATCAGGGAAGATGTAAAAATGTTACAATTTATGACTGCTAGTTGACACAAATAATGGACCAGGTGTGCTTCTTTTCTAAGACTTTAAGGTTGATCTGTCTTTACCATATAGGCACAATTTCTTTTCCATTTGAAACTGTGAGCTGTTGTATACACACAACTTACTTGCCTGTGGCTTGATGAAAAAAGCTTCCTTTCTTTACAACAGAAATACCATTGAAAGCCAAGTTAAACCCAGCTCACTCACTCACTCACTCATGTAGTGCCAGATGAAAATCTGGGTTAGAATTGGTTTTCAGTCACCAATGCTTGTAAGGGGCAACTAATGGGATTGCCGACTTGGTTTACGCAATCACATCCCAATTGATTAGAGCGATGCAGATGCTGTCAGTCACTGAATATTCACGGAATATTCTGTCAGACCTGATTATTTACATTACATGGCCAATACATAATTTACTAAGCAGCAAAAGAAATGTCAGTTTGGAATTTTCCGTCGCAGAAACGGATAACTGTAAACTCATTTAATGTTTTGATTGTATATTTTTGACAACATCTCCAACTTTACCTGAGCAAAGACATTCCTTCCCAAACTCAGAATGGAACCCAGAAAATGGTCTCAAAAACACAACCTGATCTCAAAGATGTTACGTAGTTCTCCATGTTTATCATGCAACTCACGCTGCACGTGCTGTTCACAAGGACCAGCCCTATAAAATGCACCCCCAAACCTGGTTTAAACATTCACATTACAACATCAGCAGGATGCCGCGACTCACGGCAGCTCAGAGGAACCAGGCGCAATGAAGACTTGAAGCTGGCCACACTGCACAAGCCGTTCCCAATCACTTCCAGGTCAACATTTGGACCATCTACAGGGTGCAGCAACATTTCCAGGCCACCAACACCACAAATGTCGCCTCGTACTGGGGTATTCACTAGTGTTGAGAATCAGAACCCAAATCAACTATCGATTATCGGAGGACTTGTGGTGAAAGATTATCGATTATAATCGAAATAAATAAACTTTTAATGTAATCACCAATTTTAAGCGTTTTCCCCGAGTCAATTTCTAATTAATGTTTTTTTTTAATAACTAATACCATCATGCAATGAAATGCATGCATGCAAGAAAGACACAGGAATTTTTACAATGCTTACTGTCATCTTTTCATTGCTTGATTATATTAATCGATATCATTAAATATATATACCATCATTCATGAGTATCCTGAGTCTATGAATACAATGCGCATAGCTTTACACTGTTGAGCTCATGATTCGTCAAATTTAATGGTTAGTTTACTTCATTCAGGTGTGTTATACTATAACAACTAAATTCCGATTGATCGAAAATATGTTTTTTTACAATTAATAATTATTTTTAATCCTTCTTTCGATCGATTATTTTCGATCATTGGAACACCACTAGTATTCACGGAATATTCTGTCCAGACCTGATTATTTACAGACCTTCATCGAAGTGATGAAGTCTTGCTGAGTGCATCAGACAACAAACCTAACAACAAAAATATCTCTTCTTTGAGAGGCATTTTAGAAATTGGATAGATGAAGGAAAACCAAGTTGTATGGATAGTCAACTTCTTTATTGCTTGATAACAGTGTTAGTACCTACACCGGGACGTCGCACCCAATGCAATAAAGAAGTTGACTATCCATACAACTTGGTTTTCCTTAAAAAATATCTCTGTTACGGAACAATCCAAAAACTCCTAGTGTGGTCAATACATAATAGTTTATTACAAAAGTAAAGAGCAGATCAATGCAAAAATGCCATTAATCACAAAGTTCCACATGGACGATAATATTCCCTGATATATTACATATCATCAAAACTTGCTGTGAGTAAAGTTATGTACAAGATGAAACAGGTAAAAAATACATGACTATTTAAAGTCAAACAAGAATGGCGAGCAACTTAAAGTATTAACAATGCTCCAATTTTTATAATGCTTCAAAACAAGCCATGAAAATTACAAACAAGCCACAAAAAGTGAATAGCACACAGCATCACAGCCAAAATATGAATCAAATACCATCTACTCATACACTGTGTAATATATATCACAGCACACAGCATCACAGCCAAAATATGAATCAAATACCATCTACTCATACACTGTGTAATATATATCACAGCACACAGCATCACAGCCAAAATATGAATCAAATACCATCTACTCATACACTGTGTAATATATATCACAGCACACAGCATCACAGCCAAAATATGAATCGAATACCATCTACTCATACACTGTGTAATATATATCACAGCACACAGCTTACTGCCTACAGGATAGTCACACGATAATCACAAACATCCAGTACCAGTACAGAAGAAAATAAGATTTTTAACTTTGATCAGACACATGAATATCACACAAACAAATAATCACACTACACAAAGTACACACGGTGGTATAACCCATCATGTAACTGAGGTGAGAGACAATATATAATGTATTTATAGCCTCTGCTATAACAATAAGCTGATGGAAACAGACGACCGTCTACACTGTCATCATAAGGACTACAAAGAGTGACATTGACTACAGAAATGTAAAGGGGCGGTGGGGTAGCCTAATGGTTGAAGCGTTGGCTCGTCACGCCGAAGAACCGGGTTCAAATCACCACATGGGCACAATGTGTGAAGCCCATTTCTGGTGTCCCCCGCCGTGATGTTGCTGGAATATTGCTAAAAGCGGCGTAAAACCAAACTCAGTCAGTCAGACAGAAATGTAAAACCATGTTATCTATCAAAGTCCTTCTGGAAACTTAAAAAGCAATTGAGTTTAATATGTTCAGCTACTAATCCTTTTATTTCCAAGCACTTTTCTTCGCCTGTTTCGGTTCCTTTCCGTGAATAAACAGGATCCTCCTGTTTACCCACTCCGCCTCACTCTCCATCCCATGTTTCTTGTAGAACTCCAGCAACTTCTCATACCGATTGGTCACATCCATCCCGGTGAGAACCTGCAGCTTGTGGAGGTCCACTGGGCACAGGTGCATGGGCTGGCGGAAATCCTCAGCCAGATGACCCGACCCGTTCATACAACAGTCAAAATAAATACAATGGTCGATCCTCAGAAGATGACAAATTTCATGGACTACAAGTTTGCAGCTTCTCTGGAGAACCATCCTCTTCCTGTCCTTGTCAGAAACATCCTCTGTTTCTTTGATGTCATACCAAAACTCAGTGGAGAACGTCAGTTTGGGATCATATCGGAAGATGCTGAAGACAGCAACCTTCTGACTTGCAGAAGCCAAACCAGCCATGAACAAATCAGAATCTTCTCCATAAAGATCATACATAGTAAGTCCGATGACACATATAGCATCCTCAGGAACTCTGTCATGCAGTATGGGGAGAACCGAACTGATGCTTAACTGCAGATGTTTTGACTCTTCACTGTACCTCGACTCAAGCTCACACTCACCATCAACCGCTTCAAGGACAATCTTGTCTTCTTTCCGCTGTAGGTTCAAACCAGGTAAGGTTGCCACAGGAACACAAAGAAATCTTCCAGTATAGTCGATGAGATCTTCGAAAGCAAAGCAAGATTCTTCATCAAACTTCCCAACAGGAACAATATAGATCTTACCCTTGGGGTACTTCTCACTCAGCGTCTTTCCAACCTTGGTCGAAGGGCTCTTTGTCAGTGTCAACCAAGGCACCTGCCAAAGGAAGCCCCGGAAACTCTGCCCATCCTCTTTATACTGGGCCAGCCAATCATCAACACTTGTGGGTTGTGAGAGGTGTGTGAAGAAGTCAGTGTCAGAGTGGTTGTATGCAGGAGGAATGTTCTTTACATCAAACCCAATTGCCAGTGTTCTTTCCTTCTCAGATGGAGCTTTGAATCCCCTTATGTAGGGCACACACCGTGGAGGTTTCTTTGACGTCGATTTGATTTTGCCAGTTTTGGTCTTTTTTCCTGTGTTCATCTTGAGTTGGGAATGTGCTGCTGACAAGTGTAACCTTTCTCTAGAATGTGTAAGAGAAATAAAACTTTAAACAAATTTTAATTGATCACACCATAGCCAGTAGAAATTCGTAAATTGTCGATTGATATACACCTAAATGACACAGCCATATTATGTTCTCCATTGAGGACTGCCCATTTATATTCATTTCTGAAAATCAGACACTGGAATTTTACCACTCCAAATTCTTGTTCACTCAATATAGGAACTAAGAGGTGAGGTGAAATTGGGTTTAACATTGTGCTTGAGAATATTTCGCTCATATGATGACGTGCATGCGTGTGTATGTGTGGCTGCTTGTACTAGCCCAGAATGAAGCTGGTTTTATAGTGCTAGCCCACTGAGATACCATGCCGCAGTGAAGCATGAATACCCCACTCAGACACATTATACTGACTCCGAGCCGACCAGTCCTTGTTGTACCCATTAATGCCGAGTGCCAGGCTGGGACCAACAAGTACCATATTTTAACATCTTTTGGTATGACGCGGTCGGGGATCGCACATGAGGCCTTCCGCTCTCCGGGCGGACGCTCTAGGAACTAAGGAGCATTCCTTGCTGATTATAATGTACACCTGATGTGAATTATTTAAAACAACAGATAAAAGTGTAGCCTTCATTCCAGCCAGTCAAATTTTGACAGTTTCTACTCTTACAAATTATATTTTTCACATATGATAATATGAAAAACCACCCCAGCACAGCTTAGGGATATGACTGTCTAAAAATTACAGATGTAAATAAACAAAATATAGCCATGAGACCGTTCATAATTATGGTTGGGGGTGGGGGTGGGGGGTGATGATTTTTATAGAGAAGCATGTACAATGTGAATTTTCCCCCCCATAAAATTATGTACAAATTTAAGTAATTGCCATGATATAGTGCAAAAGACCTGAGTGTGCAAATTGGAATTTATGCAGACACAGCAGTTCAGTGATGAGTCATCTCTATTTTTAGACAAGAATACCTTTGAACACCTTGAACATATGTTGAAGACTAAATGCTAATTTTGTGAACATGTGGTGACGAGGGAAAACCTGGGTCTATGATCCACATAACAGACATAACATATGAAACAACAAATCTTTGTCAAATTCATATAAACATGTCAGAATATATGAATGGTGGAACAGTTATTGGAACATAATCATTTGGCATTAACAGCTAAGTTTACCTTTAAGTTGAAATCTAAGAAATGACATTGGAAGGTACAAGATATATATTCACTACATTTACTTTATTAACGTAACGGATGGATTTTCTGTTATAAACTCATTCCCAGTTCCATTGTAACATTAGAAGCAATATGTCAACACCTTGGCGTGAGCAAAGAAAACAATATGATGGGGTTCAACGATATTAATTATTATCAGGTAACTGTGACAAATGACATCAACTGAGACAAAATGCAGATATGATCTGTTGTCAGTCAACATATTACCATGGATCGCATTCAGTAGTATATCCATCAGCATGTCCACCTACTAAATCGTTGATTTCATGTGGTAGGACAATATCACACTGATAATCAGTGACATCAGCTGATGTGATGATTTGATATGTCAGTTCATCTGCGACTGACATCTCAAATATATTTAAGCAAAACAAATGTATTAATCCACAAATAACCAACACACGGGTACGTTTAAAACTGTGTGTTACCTTCAATGACATGAAATGACGTCCGTCAACTTGCAATAAATACTTGTTTCTGGAACACCATGGTGAAATGTAAACTGCAAGCGAAGGCTTTCCGGTTCTTGAATAATTTCTATTTTTAGAATCAAGGGAGGTAATGCCCGGAACTCGGCGCTTTCTATTTCAAGGCGGGAAGACGAGACTGTCAATACGTTGTTTATTTGGAAAACAGCTGCCAAACGGGACTATGAAGTTAGACAGAGGTGAACATTGTCAATGCAAATGGTTGCAATATGATGTTGTTGGAATCCTTTCAGGTGTTATTTTCACAAGGACAAGCAGAAGACCACATTTTTTGAAGTTCAAATGTCAACAAATAATGGTCATTTGACAAAAATAGACTTTAGGGTACTCTTAGTTCATACTCTTTGCATTCAGAGGGAGTCAGGATATTATACTTGATTATGAATATCCTGAATATTGTTTTTCTATCTTCTATCGTCTATCATGCGTGTCATAAACAGCTGATATCGCTACTCATGCTTGGGTCAACAGGTGGTTAAGAAACTAATTTGGGTTTTGAAAATTTGGAGTTTGATCTTTTAAAATTTAATATGAGTATCATCTCATGACATTATTCTGATGTTTTATACTTTACTTAGGACTTTGCTTATAGAAGTTGTCATCTTGTGATGTAACTCAGATAATGTCTGAAGTAATACCATACATATAGTTGTACCCACAGATTCATGCCAAAGTACAGAACCGTAACCTCAATTCATAGATAACCTGATTCGTGGATCGTGGTAATTATCATGACGTCACAAAGCGGTACCTTTGATTTCACACAGTGCCACACAATTCTGACAAAAATGTTCTGAATCTCTGCATTACACATAAATACACTACCATCTAATTCTCCAGGACTGAAATAAATAACCAAGATCACTTATACCACTACTAATACAAAATTTTGTTTTTATAAAATGTCAAGTAAAAAAGATATCGCTTCGTTAGCACCAAGCTTCTCACATCTCGTCGTCTTCTTTCCTAGTGTCAGTTATGCTGCAATGGGCTGTCGTACATAGTAGTGGTGGTCCGATTAATTGAAATAATCAAAGATTGGTCGCAGTGACCAAACGACCAAGCAATCGATCACATTTTCTCCTAATCGAACATATCCGATTTTGGAGCTACAGTTTTAGTGTTTGAAACACTTGACGATGGAACATACCTTAGAAATTGTCAGGCCTGAAAACGTGTTTGATTCCTACAAAACTCACTTCATTAACTGAAAATTCATGACTGAATATTTCTTTACAATCCCAGGAAGTTTATGTTCATGATATGTTTATTAGTCATCACTTTAAAGAAGCAAGTTGCATCATTTTACATTAGGGTTGACATTTGCAAATGTAATTTACAAGTTTCTAACAAACCCCCACCCTCAAAAAACAAACAAACAAAATACGAAAACAAACCCCAAACCCAGAGATCCATGTTATACTTATCTTATCTGTGAAAACATCCTGAATAATAAAATCTGAAAAATGACGCTGGCCAATTTATTCGATTATTGCTCGTTGGTAATGTACCAATCATCAATTGTGTGATTTCAACCAATTCCCAACACTAGTACATAGTGATATATTGTACCCGACTACATAATTCACGAAACAAGGTAACATCACATTTTGTGTGCACACTAATGGATTATGATTGCAAATGACTTAGGTAAACAAACATTTTATTTATGAGTGGAATATTAGGCATTTTCAATTTGCTGAATCAATGAATAAACTAATCAGTTAGTATACAAAATGAAATCGTGCATTAAAATTTGATTTCGATGCACTTCCCTTATATCCACGAATAAAGGCTACGCAAGTGTAAATGAACTGAATATGACTAACAGGACATATTGTCTCAGTATACATGGTATACATTTTGATTGTGATGTAGGAATACAGAAACATTACTTGTCATCAATTGCAAAGAGAATGATTTAAAGAGCATGTGCTGCCCAAACCTATTAATATGGCGATTTAATGAAGTTTTCAACTCATATGCATTTTGCTTGAGCTCATGCTGTTGATCACTGGATTGTCTGGTCCAGACTCGATTATTTACAGACTGCTGCCATATAGCTTGAATATTGCTGAGTGCGGAGTAAAACTCACTCACTCACAACACATCCCAACACATCCCAACCACTTGCTAGTAGAACTGTTCAACAGCCAGGTGTGCGAGTTGTAAATGTGAAATTGCAGTGCACGCCCTTGTTGATTACCTGGCTGTTCAACCAGCAATTGGTCCTCCCTCGTGAAGAAATGGCGAAAAAGTGACAACAAAGTAATGATCGTTTGTTAAACAACTTTTTATTCGGTGTCAAATATTATGAGACAAATCATCAGAGTTGGTCTGTCGATTTCATGTGACTGCAAAATTTGTTTTGGTTGCAATTATTAGATTTTGTGTTAGTGAGCAATTCATCGGTCCAAAATGAATTCAAACGGGACCATAATAGGGCTCCAGATAATTTTTCAACATCAGAGTAATGCCTGGAAAACCTTAAAGAGTACATTTAGTGTACTGAATGGAATTTAATGGAGTATTACTATCAGTAATCTTGTGTTTCGTTTCATATATATGCACCACAACATTGCTACTCTTGTGTAAACAGGTCAATAAACAATAAAACAATATGTTTCAGATAAATACCTTTGTAAACGATTATAAGATCGTACACCATTGCTATGGTGCGTATATGCTATGTTTTCTTAATTATTTCCCACCATATCGTGCATATTTTAAACATATACTGCCCTTATCTGGAGCCCTGTAACTAAGCTGCAGATCGTTTCTATTTGTAGCAGACAAACATTTGATAAATGATCAAATTTCTTGTACACCATGTAAACCAATGTGCACCAGGCGAGCCTTTAGTGTTATCAACTATGCACTACTGCATCATTTCCGTTTGTCTTAAGCCATCCATGAATGCAGCAGCCCAGTTTCAATCCTTTAGAAACGGAAGTAATATTTTACTTTAATTTTCAACAATCATGACCAAGATGATCAGTTATTTAGATTATACATGCAATAGGCCTCCATGTATAAAGCTTAAACTTGACAGTCTACCATTTGATTATGTGATCTTTTACATTATTTTCAGATTACTGACAATGTACTAGACAATATGGCGGATGCCAAGATGTTGAAAAGGCAGCTTGCAGAGGCTGTGAAGATCATAGCTGAGTATGTATTTTCTTAGAATCGTAGCAATTGCAGATATCTTTGGCTGGGGTGGGGTGTGTGTTGAATATAAGATTCACACAAAATATGATTCTGTGTGTCGACATCGTTCAGTAGTTCCACATTTTTTATTTTGTCCTTCCCCCCATAATGTATAGATAGATGACTATATTATATGCTATATATAGTATTGTGTAAACCATAGTTAGCATGTTTTTGGCTTGATAACCATATTGATCACGGTAATACAGAGGACCAGATAAACTGCGTATCCGGGAAATATACGCATAGAAAATTTCCCATTATGCATTGAAAAATATTTCTTGCGTACCAATTACGCATTTAAAGTGTTAGATACGCAAAAAGTTTAAAACAAATGCTTATGGAATATATTTATAAAAATCGCTTGCGTAATGAAAAAGACATTGATTGCTATCAAGTTGTACTGGTAAAGTACTGTCGGAAATAGAAAAAAACTGTATTTTCTCATTTATCTCTACAATTTATGTAGTTGATATGTGCAAATGTGAAATATCTGTTAAACTAAGTTCGGCCTAACTACAGTCTCAGTGGTAGGGACATAGGAAACATAGAAAAAAGACTTTACTGAGGAGAGATTAGTGCAGAAATGATTAATGCGGGGTTTTCTAAGTCCAAAACGATTTATTTGGAACAGACCATGGCTTTATGCAAATTAGTGTGCAACGATATTGTATTACAAAGGACACTTTTTAAATGCCCAATTTGAAATTAGACGTAGCTTCATTATAAACGATAGCTGGCGTAAAAAATAATAACTTTCATGCTGAAACTATTAAGGATGTAGCTACCATGGAGTCTCACTGTCACTATAACAAAAAACAGATAGGAGGGTTCGTCTCAAAAGCAAAACCTGGACGGGTGTCGCAGACGATCATTGGGGTCAGGCTGGGGGATAGAGATATCAGCTAAGATAAGATAGTCCTTTAGGGCAATTATACTGGGGAAGTACACGGCATGTCATAACAATTTACAAATAATATCCAGTCCTGTCGATCTTGGCAATCGGGTGGTCATGCCACCTATATATTTTGAGACATTTAATATGGTGCGTTTCTATGGTTATCAGGTACCACACTCTTTTACATATCTCAACGTGAACTTCATGAAAGAAAAAAAACGTAAGATGTTAATCAACAGATAGCATAGTCAACACACATGAAAAAGCACAAAATATATTTGAGATGACCCCTTGTGCCTGTAGGCAGCATATGCATTTCATGCCAGGTGAGTCGACGGTCCGTCGTCATACCTGGCTGAGCGACCTAATTGCCATCTATAGTCTGAAGTTTCTAATCTAGGTCTCTTAGTTTTTTTATTTAAAGGCCGGGGTTCAAACCTATACACAGATGGGGTGTGGCCTCCTGCCTTGCCAAAACTGTCTTTCAATGCAAAGCAATGCAGTATTCAAGTACATTCCATGAAATATCACAAAATTGACTTGCCGCTTCTTGATGAAATTGAGCCATAGTGTAAACAAGTGTGTTATGAAGACACACTGCAAAAAGTGTTGATGCAGACAGTGTACAAAACCTGCATCTTAAAAATATATCTCTTTTTGAAATTCAGATTTGAGTTTGCCTCTGTATCAGTCAGGAGGCCAGAGGAGGTGCGTCTCTCCAGAAACAAACTCCTGAGTGGAAGTTGAAGGTTCATTCAGGGTTTCATATTTCACTTTCTTCCCAGGCAGTCAGGTAGTGCCCTCCTCCACTACCCTGACCCCCCAGCTGTGCGGGTTGTACGCTGATTTGACTCTGACACTGAGTGGAACACTTGATTCCCCCCAGAGGGGTGATATTGGCTTGGTATCCTTGTTATTATTATCAACACATCAAGTAGGCAAATGTAATTATCTTCTATAGTAAACCTTTGATGTCCTAAATTCTTCAAAATAACATAAGATTCTCTAAAATGCAGCAACATAACCATGATAACATTCTGTACTCAAAACCCAAACCCCTAAAGCCTCAAATGAACCTTGCTTAGTTTTAGTTTGGTAACTTGTGGGTCAGATCACACTTCATTGACTCCTACTATCGGAGTACACTTGACATCTCTCATTATCTGGTTGACCATACAAATTTTCTCACAAGATGGATCCAAGTAAGCGAAGTGCTCGTTTTACAATTGAAATACCTGGTGACCAAGAAGTCAAGCAAGGTATTCTCCAAAAACTGAAATAAGTGAAAACACACCTAAAAGCAGAGACAAGCAAGCCTGCTCATACTGCACGAATCTGTAATTTTTGTCTTCATGAAATGAAGGGAAGGGTTGTTGGACAGTTACTATCAGGCACATGTTTGTTCTAGTAGTAAATTCCAAGCTTAACCTCTGACAATGACATCCCCAGACTCCCATCAGGCCCTTGCCAGGCACCCATAGCTGTTACAGTCCTGTCACTCATGGGCAGATAACATCTACACTGCTGAGGAGTAGCCAAAGGGGGGACTATTTGGGAACCCAGGGGGGATTTGGAGGTTTGCTCCCCGACCTTTAACCCAAATAATTCTCGCCTCTTTTGTTGTCATGTTGGATTTATAAGCATGGTAAGCACCCAACAAAGTTACCTTACATTAATTTTTTTTTTTTTCTTTTCCAGTTTGAAGAAAAGTCTTGGCATCTATGAATGTAGAAAATCAATCTGTAGATTTTTGGATGATTTCTTTGGAGATATTGATGTTGGTAAGTTTTGACTCAAGTATGACTGTTTCATTTACAACTCTAATTGTGCAGTTACTTAATGATATCTATTCTGTTTCTGTATATTTAAAGCAAACAGTAGGAACAGACCTAATAATTATGAATGATTTTCAGAATTGTCTATTTTAAACATTCAAAATTATTTTAGTATTAATTGATCACTTCAGCTGGCTGTATCACTTACTGTTTGTATCTTAGCTTCTTACTGTCATTTCAGTGTCAGAATCTCTGAAGAACCATGGCGACAAGAGTGAGTGTTTCCACATGTTGATGTGGTGCCTGCACTGTCTCAGGAATGAACCTCAGATCTACATACTTCTCCATCCAACTACTGACACCAGCAGTGTCCCAGCTCCCAAACCTGGGCAGCTGAAGAGTGAAGTGCAGCTCTCTCAAGGTAGGTCCTCCACTCCACTCCAGCATTCTTTTTCATAGATCGTCCGTGGGGTACATATATGCATTTTCTGCTGCTGAAAATGTCATGTGACAGTTGTATCAATGTTTTAATAAAATATTGTACAATAAATAAAAAGCCTTTTTTTTATTCATTATACGCTCCCACCCCCACCACTCCAGCAGTCCTGACTGAACCCAAATTTGTAAAAATAACAGCAGCTTGTTGTGACAAACAAATTGACATTAAATCTACAGCAGGCTGTAAAGATTTTGACAAGTTACAAAATACTGTCCAGCATGATTTTGCCGAAAACATGCTCTTCTGGATATCCCTATGCGCATCCCACTGAATGCCAAGTTAGGCCCGAAGTGGGTTATTTTAATTATAGGCTATTTGCAATTGTAGTAGCCAAATTTAGGGATACAGAGTAAAAGCCTTAAAACAGTTTTTCTATTTCCGACAGTACTTTAGTATAGGGACTTAAATTACAGGATAGAGTGACTTTTTATGAAATCATTTCCATTATATTTTAAGTTGGTTTTGCTTAGGTATGACCCTTAAGGCGAGTATATACCTGCTTAGTAAACTTACTCAATGATATATATACTTAGGTGAGTAAAATCACTGAAAATACCCACATATTTGAGAAGCAGTGGGTAAGCGGAAGGAAATGAAATACCCACTCAGACATTCATAATACCCACTCCAAAAAAATACAGTAGGTACAGTCGACGACAGTTGTAACTATATTTTTCAATAAAATATTTACAAAACAAAACTTCGTCTTTGTTGTATGCTTGTAAATTACCCCAAGGAGGATCTCTTTTGAAACAGAATCAGAACAAACCTGTAGGGTTTCACGATTCTTTTGAAAGAGTCCCCTTGAAGTAGAGATTCTCTACCTCCCAGTATTCTGTCTGATTTGGATTTCAGCATGAAAAGTGAAGTCACGGGGTTCAGCGCTTAGAGTTACCTGCTCTTGGCTGTTAGAAGGGCCCCAAAGGGGGGCCTGTAGGGATAAGCTCAACAAAACAAAAACATGTTTTTTGTTTGTAAATATTGATTAAAGAAAATATAATTACAACTGTAGAGTAGGAACTAAAATGGACATTTTTAATACTTACACAAGTTCCCAAAGGGGACTCTTTTCACCCCACCCCATGTCATGCTTAAGCAAATCATTGACCTCTTACCTGAGTACATGTTAGGTACAAAATTGATGACAATAACGGGGAAAGACAAAAGAAAGAACAACCAACCCAACCCAAAACACACACACACACACACACACACACACACACACACACACACACACACACACACACACACACACACACACACACACACACACACACACACACACACACACACACACACTCCCCAGAACAAAATGGAAGGCTAGTCCTTGATGATGAACACACAGGCTGGTTTGAAATTGGCATAATGTACACATATTTCATTTATATAATTGTCTGCAGCGTTTCAGACCCAGCTAGTGAATTTTGCATACAGTTGACAATACTATGAGCCATTTTATATTCCCCAATGTTGTGCATTGCTTTATTGTCAGGTAAATAGAGAATCTCACCAAAGTGTCTTCTGATATCAATTATATCAACCACGAGTTGATAAGTTACAAATATCGAGGGGCTTGCCCGAGGATATTTTACTTTATCAACAGTGTTGATATATTGATATCAGAAGACAAGAAATGAATTCTATTTATCATCAAAATCACTCTTCATTAATTTTCAATGAAAAATGTACATCTGAACATGGTACTGCCATTAGACTTGCAGTGCAGCGATGTCATAACATTGTGATGTCATCAAAGTACATGGCGTCATAGCATTGTCAGGGCATTATTACAAAATCTACTATCAAAACGATATCTCCTAGGAGATATCGTTTGATCTCCCTAGCGATATCTCCTGTGGAACACAGTTTTGGATGATAAACAATTTGTACTTTGACGGTGTGTTTGTTATACTCCCAGTAGCTTTATATAAAACTGTCTTTCAATGCAAAAAGCAATGCAGTATTCAAGTACATTCCACGAAATATCCACAAAATTGACTTGCGGTTTTGATGAAATTGAGCCATGGAGTGTAAACAAGTATGTTATGAAGACACTGCAAAAGTGTTGATGCAGACAGTGTACCGCAAAACCTGCATCTTAAAATATGCCATAATCTCTTTTGGAAATCCAGATTTAGAATTTGCCACTGTGTGTGTCAGTCAGGGGAGGGAGGCCAGAGGAGGTCGTCTCCTAGAAACAGACTCCTTAGTGGAAGTTAAAGCTTCATTCAGGGTTTCATATTTCACTTTCTTCCCAGGCAGTCAGGTAGTGCCCTCCTCTCCACTACCCTGACATCCCCAAACCCCGACCCCCAGCTGTGCGAGTTTGCACACTGATTTATTTCTTTGACATTAGGTGGAACACTTGATTCCCCCAGTGATATTGGCTTGGTATCCTTGTTAATATTATCAACACTGTGATCAAGTAGAGCAAATTTAATTATCTTCTATAGTAAACCTTTTGATGTTCTAAATTCTTTAAAATAACATAAGATTCTCTAAAATGCAGTAACATAACATTCTGTACTCAAGAGCCCAAACCCCTAAAGCCTCAAAATGAACCTTTGCTTAGTTTTGGTAGTAATGCTAACTTGTGGGTCTGATCAATTTATTGACTCCTACCATCCGGAATAAACTTCACCATATCTCATTATCTGGCTCTGGGGCGGTGGGAGTAGCCTAGTGGTTAAGGCGGATTCTCTCGTCTCGCCGAAGACCGAGGTTCCATTCCCTACATGTAAGTACAATGTGTTAAGCCCATTTCTGGTGTCCTCCGCCCGTGGATATTGCTGGAATATTGCTAAAAGCGCGAAAACCAAACTCTCACTCTCACTCACTCATTATCTGGCTGACCATACAAATTTCCTCACAAGATAGATCCGGGTAAGCTTAAGTGCCTGCTTTGGCTAATCGGAAGCACCCGGTGACCAAGTCGTCAAGCTGGTATTCTCCAAAAACTGAAATAAGTTGAAAGCACACCTAAAGCAGGGAGACAAGCAAGCCTGCTATTAATGCCATGAATCTGTAATTTGTCTTCATGAAATGGAAGGGAAGGGTTGTTGGACATTTACTATCAGGCACATGTTTGTTCTAGTAGTGAAATTCCAAAGCTTACCTGCTGACAATGACATATCCCCAGATTCCCATCAGGCTCTCTCACCAGGGTTCCATAGCTGTGCCATAGTCCTGTCACTCATGGGCAGAGATAACATCTACTGCTGAGGAGTAGCCAGCTAGGACTTATTTGGGGATTTTGGAGGTTTGTGTCTCGACCTTTAACCCAAATAATTCTCGCCTCTTTTGTTGTCATTTTGGATTTATATACATGGTGGGCACTTTTGTCTTGTTTGACCACTTCCCTTAAGGGTCCCTCATGGGCCCCACAGCCAAGAGAACTCTAACCTTTAATCTCGTAACTCACTTTCTGGTGATGTTTGCCTCTGTGGGAGTCACTAAGGGCGTCCGAGGGAAATAAGTATAAGTATAAGTACCCCAAGGAGGACTCTCTTCAAAGAAGGGGCGGTGGTTTAGCCTAGTGGTTAAAGCGTTCGCTCGTCACGCGGAAGGCCCCGGGTTCGATTCCCCACATGGGCACAATGTGTGAAACCCATTTCTGGTGTCCCCCACTGTGATATTGCTGGAATATTGCTAAAAGCGGCGTAAAACCCAACTCACTCACTCACTCTTTAAAGAATCAGCAACCTCTGCCGGTTGGTTCGAGTTTTGTGTGTCTGCTCCATTCTAATCCTCAGTGTATTTGCAGGGAATATTTGGATATCAATGCTGATGGCAACTCTGGTCTTACACCTTAGTATTCAAATTGGAAGAAGTTATCAGAGTTTGATATATATATGTTTAAGATTGTTTCAGTTATTGCAGTGATGCATGAGTTGTTGTGGTTACAGAGTTGGTGCAGATCAATGACCAGCTGTATTCACCCGAACCACCAGAGTTTGTGACTCTGTCCAGGTTCCAAGTTCCCCTGGACAAGGTCAAACAAAGTCACGTGGAGCCTGGCAAGGTGAATGAATGTTTCCATTTAGCATTATCAAAAATATTATGAAAGTTTTGTAAACATTTGCTGGAACATTGTTGAGTGTTTTTATGAAGCAACAAACAAATGTAATGTCTATTGCTGTAACCATCACACCTGACATCTCCGTGCCCAGAGTGTGGACGCAGAAGGCCTGACCCTACAGGACATGAAGATCAACATAGCAGATCCCTGTCACTGTGAACTGCTGCAGATCAACCTCACGTGAGTAGAAGCAGTCTCCAAAAGCTTACTCTTTACTTCTGTTTCCAGTGATCTGACCAACCAGTCAAACAGGTGTTTAAGAAAAGTATGTTGAATTCTGGCTCTGAACTAGATTCTAAACATGTTAACGGGACCATAGTTAGATCCTACTTGCAAACTGTATTTCCACCAAATTATTTTTTATTTCAAATTTAGTAATGACAGACTTCTTTAGTAAATGCTTCTTTTACATTTTCAATTTACTATGTATTACTATGTGAAATATCTCCTTTCCTAAACATCCTATTGGTTGCACTCTCTATTCTTTTTATGTACATTTTGAATGTTTGATATTTAAGAAACAGGATTTAATATTACTAAATCCCTGCTCTTGCACTATGGTGAAATGGCCCACAATGATATCTGATGATTACAGGAAGATAGTCCACGGATAAGCTACATGAGGTCTGTGTAGTGGACCAAGCACCATGTACAGTTGCTATGGGATGTCTGTGCTGCCACCTGGAGTTCGGGACATTCAGCTAAAATAGTAACAAACATCCAGTCTCTTAATAATCAGGCCCCAATTTCTCGAAACAAACTTAAGTCTGAGTTTTGACTTAAGTTAGAGTTTTTACTCAAATTTGAGAAAATGCATTTCCCAGAATCGATAATAAACTCAAACATAGTAGACAATTTGGTGGATAGATTACTTAAGATGTTTGGGCTCTTTTATTTAAAAAATGCAGTTGAGTTTAAAATTCAGCTGTTTCAAATTGTCAAATTCAGTTTGAAATTTGAGTAAAAACTTAAGTTTGTTTCGAGAAATCGGGGCCTGATATTTTACTCTTGCATAATACGTGTCTGCTTGAAAATCTGACGTCAGAATTTTGCAAATTAAACCCTGTGTCAAGTCTAACTGGAAGATGCTTGTGTATTTAATCCAATCTGAAGTCACGTTTCAAAAGCAAATCAGCTTGATTTCAGAAATTGTGATTTGAAAAAGTGGAAAAAGCAGACAGAACTCAGACATTCATTCAGTGGCGCTCAAGTTGGGTGTTGTCATGCAGAGACGTATCATCAGAGTAGTAAATAATACAACTTCATAGTCATATGGCCACTGTGCTTGAATCTGAAATGCTTTTTCCTTGTCTACAGGACATAATCTATTGACAACACCGTCATTTCACAGCTTTCTCAAAGTGTTAACAGTCTGCATCTTTTGGGTCAGTTGGATCAAAGTTAATGTAGAACACAGTCAGTGAAGTTTACATGAATGTATAAATACAGATCTTGGTGTGTCCCTGGCCAGTTCTTCTATCATTTCACACCTTGCTTAAAGTGTTAACAGTCCTCATCTTTTGGATCTTTTGGGTAAAAGTTTATTTAGAGCACACTCAGTGAAGTTTACGTGTGCCTGTAAGTACTGATCTTGGTCCGTCCCTGGCCAGGTCTTCCGGGCTTGATTTACATGGAGTCCTATGTTTCCAGTGTTCCCTGTCCACCCTGTCTGACATCCTCACTTCGTCTGGTCTACCCACCCTGGTTATGGACTACTTCCTGGGCTGTGTGGCCGGGCTGTTGGAGTTCCTGCTGACTGATTGTGATGATGTCCCAGAGAGGTGAGGAAAAAGAATTTGATGAGGGGTAGCCCAATCCCTGGATTTGTAGAATACAGTGAACCCTTTTCTTCATTCTTGGTCCTTTAAGCATGTTTGGTGTTGATAGTTGGTGTTTAAAAAACAACAAGCTGTTGGTGTTACGTTTCCTGATCTGCGCAGTGAACCAATTATGGGTTTAGGGATAAGAAAATAGTATAAATAATGTTTGAGGTTCTTAGTGGAAATATTGAAATAATTTCTGTGAAGTTCATGCAGTATGAAACACTGATCTTGTCCTGTCATCAGATTATAGTGCATTATGTTCAGTGTCGTCATTCTTTTATTGTCTTACATATTTGTGATTGTGGTCCTCCTTCCACCAATTATTTAGCATATTATCAGAGGATTTTCTCATTTAACCTCTCAAACATCCACATGTTATCAAATTCATACAGTCATCAGATAGTGGTAATGTTTAGTGAAGTATCATACTGAATTTCATAGTATTTTCTTTCAGCGAGTTAAAAGAACTTGAAGAAAACAGTGCTTTGATGATGAATGGTCTCATAGCAGCAGATGCAAAGCCTTTCAAGATAAATCAGGTCTCTGTCGGCCAGGCTGAGGACCAGCTGAAAAGACTTGCTGACATGGCAGTTAAACTCGGACTGACTGGTCTCCGCACTGACAACATGAGGCAGGCGAAGTCACGCTGGATTTGTCACCTTCTCGGAAAATTCCCTTCTGACCTCAGACACAGTCAGCTGTTCTGCTACTATAGACGGCAGCTTGTGATAGCTTTGTTTGGAGTCTTTGGATCAACAATATCTTACGAGGTCAGTAAAAATATTAATTTAGAGATAAATTGAGATTTGTTCATATGAGAGTGTTTATGACAGTCACCTTATATCGTGTTCCAGTAGACCAAATACAAGTAGATTCTGTAGGCTGTTGCTTGTGTGTTATCTCAATATTGTTGATATGGATGTCCTACTGCACCAAACGTTCTTCACTTTCAGTTCATCGTGAACCCCTTGCATCAGCTCATTGTGATCGATCTTCAAGGTCAGCCACCAAAACAAGGGGAGACAACCAGGGTGGATGTTGAGCAGGACCGGAGGGATAAACACAAGAGACCAGGACTGTCACAGAAGCGAAAAAGGTCTATAATATATCTGCTTAAATCCTAGGTTTGAAAAAAACCCAGTACCATCAAGAAGTAATGTACATATTCTTTGGTTATTTATGTATTAATATTTGACCAACGATATAGAACTAAGGTGCTGGGTGGCCAAGTTGTGCAATTTGCTGCTGAGTTATGTCCCTTGATTTAAGATTCAGCCTCATTTTGATCTTTGGTTTATCAGAACCAAGACCCTCATAATCCAAATGTGGAACTGCAACTATTGTATATGATTAACATACAACAAATGAGGCTCATGTGTTTACTGTTGAGTTATACAGTGAAGGAGACTGAAGGCCCTGTGTTGTATGTCCACAGGAAGCCGTCAGATGACGATGAGGGCAACCTGGAGAAGCAGTCCACCACCTTCAAACAGGCCATGCAGAAGCTGAGGATGTCTGTCATCAACAGAAAGGTAGTGTCACATGTCAGGGGATACCTATATATATCTTGCATGCTGCACTTTCCAGTGTATTCTGTATATTATATATATTCATATCTTTGTGTTATGTTGAGTTTGGCTGACATGATGTAGAAGAAATGATCCAGTCAAATTACTGTTCTTGTATGATTGAAACAAGCATCACTGAATCATTGAAGACGTGCAAATTCGTTTTTAGGGAGCAGAACATATTATAAATACTGTTCAATGTTTCTTCACCAAATGTTTGGTTTCCATGGCAACAAATTTGACTTCGACTGAAATTGGTGGTAGTGGTATTGAAAACCGTTCAGTTGGCACAAAGATAGGTCTGGTTGTGAACTGATGCCTTTTCGTAGTTTTGGATTTCTGATTAAAATATATGTTGCGTTTCCATGGCAACAGGTTTGACTTTGACTGAAATTGTAGGTAGTGCTCTTTTCCGGAACAGTACTTTGAAACCTTTCAATACTCTCCTTCCACTTTAGGCTATTCAAGAACCTAATGACATAAATCAACAGTACCACTCTGTTTCCAGTATCAACATTACTGAGGTTACATTAAACTGTGGAAGCACTCAGGCAGTCTGTAGTTGATACAAGCATGCTAGTATATGAATAGTTTACATACGTATGTTTTCGTCATATCAATGTGAAGAACAATGTCCCATATGACAGTCATAACTAGTTGACATATTCATGAAGAGTATTTTACCTTTGCAGGGGATGTTGATGACTTTGTCTTCTTGTTAAGAATCCTAATCATTTGTACGAATTTATGATTATTTTTTACAATTTTGATTTCAGTAAGTTGTTTTTATGTTGCAGACAGACTACATGTCATGTCTGAAGATCATACAGACGGTGATTGAGCTGGCAGCAAGGGGAATAGTCCACTGCCAGAATACAAGAGGGGAGGACCGGTAAGGCTCTGATTAGTCATAGAACTTAGATAACACAATTCACGTTGTTGACATTAGTGCTGGGAATTGGTTAAAATCTCATAATTGATGATTGGTTCATTACAACCGATCAATCATCGTAAATAATTGTTAGTGTCATTTATGAAATTTGTTAATGAAGAAAAAACAATAAGGAAAAAAATGTTCTTTTGGATTTTTTGGCAAAATTTCACATCTTTAAAAGATGACTAGTATGTTAGGAACATAAATTTCTCGGAGTCTTTAAGATAAATTCAATCATGACTTGGAATGAGCTTGTAGTGCTTATGAAATGTCACAGACAAAACCAACCTTGTGAAAAATATTGTTAATGAAAACAAGTGTTCCAGAATTGTTTGTGTTCGATTATGAGAAAACATGATCGATTAATTGGTTGTTTAGTCACTGCAACCAATCTTCAATCATTTCAATTAATCGGACCACCACCAGTTGACATCACTTCAGTTAATAATTTCAGTGGTTAGATTAAGATGTACCTGCCTGTAAGAAGATTGTTCAGTATTGACAAACTTTATGGGTAGTGTCTTTTATACACAGGTGCAATGTTTCGATACAGTTTCTTGTAACGTTACCCAACTCTGTATCAAAACATCGCACTCCCGAAATAAAAGAATTTGTTTTCACACCATAAAGTTGGTCAATATTGTGCTTACCAACTTCTAAAATTGCCACTGTTCATTGACAACATATTAACAAAGTGGTTGCAGTGTTTCCGTTCTCCGGTATATACCTGAAAATCGCCGGTAAAATTTGTTGGGGACCGGTAAATTGAAAGCCAGCAGGACACCGTGTCCGGTAAATAATCATGTATTAAAATAAAATCATCATGGGTAAGCGAAATGACAGTCTTGGCTGTGCTTTCATAGTCACAAAAACTGTTATGTTTCGGAAATACCCAGGCTAAAAATAACTTTAAAATGAGTACTTACAGTATGGTAATAGGATATGACCGGCAAATTTCATTCATGACCGGTAAAATTTTAGGTCACCAGACACAGTGTCCGATAAATAATGAAGTCAGCGGAAACACTGGGTTGTTAATGGATAACTATATGTATCTGAAAATATAAAAGTGATTTCAGGGATTTACCTGAGTTATCCATTTTTGGGCTCTAGGGGTCCATGTGTTCTGCAGACCTGGTTAAGCAAGCAGCTCCTGCGGCAGTTCTACGATGTCTGGGCGGAGTACTTGTTTCATGACAAGACCAACCTGTCTCCAGCCAGCATCAACTGTGGCATCAACATTATAATCCAGTCTGTGGGAACTCTCCTGGCGCTGCAAGGTAGGGCAGTAGTATGCCTTGGGACAGGAACGACACATTTCTTTGTGATATAATACATATACAAGAGTTGGTCTCGATTTGATAACCCAAATACTCGATGCATGCAAAGAAATTGGTCCAACAGAAACATATGATGGTTTCAGTGACAATGTCTACATACCCCTTATGCACATGAGCAGAAAGTATCATTCTGCATGGTTTTTTTCATGACATTTTGAGTTTGTCGTGTACATGTGATTATTTGGTTTTGTAATGAGAACATGAGATATACAATACTCTGATAGCATGGAGAATAGTAGGGAACCACTGGTATCTTTTATATTGCATAGATGGCTCTCTGGCTCATTTCTGTAAAATCTGTGATCAAAGTTGCAGAGGACATTGAGGAAGGCTTGATGTCAGTGGACATTCAGGATGTCAGCGGACATTCAGGATGTCAGTTCTTTGGTTCACTTTGGCTAGAAATCAGCTGGACGGATGTTATAGATGATGCTAATATTTTTCTGGACCTTTCATTGCCATACATTAAATGTTACTCACTGAACCTGTGAAGGTCCGGGTTAGAATATTGGCCTTCAGTAACCCATGCTTGTCGTAAGAGGCGACTAGCAGGATCGGGTGGTCAGGCTCGCTGACTTGGTTGACACATGTCATTGGTTCTCAATTGCGCAGATCGATGTTCATGCTGTTGATCACTGGATTGTTTGGTCCAGACTCGATTATTTACCTACGGCCGCCATATAGCTGGAATATTGCTGAGTACGGCGTAAAACTCAAAAGAGAGAAAGTGAGTGTAATTCACTGTAACAAGAAATCTGTTTATTTCAGATGCAGTTCTTTCTGACATTGACATTCTGACAGATTTTGCTTGGATATTGTCATTGCCATGGTTACCAGTAAGTCCAAAACATATTTGTCATCAATACTGCATGGACTGAAACAGACATTATTCATGTCATGACCAACACATTCTAGCAGACATGTTTGTAGAATGTTGACATGTCTTCCATGCATTATGAGACAACAGCTGATTGTTGTTGAAGCTATTTTAACCTGGGTGTGTCAGTCACCATCTATTTGCATACATTTGCTTATTTTGGATATTTATGATATCAGGTTTGCATGTAATGAGTCACACTGTGTCTATCAGACTAGTTGCTGTTGGGGTTTTGGGTAACAACTGGTCCCTTCAACCTATGCAGCATGCTGATGTTACTAAGCTACACAATCGTGCCCGGGCTAAAAGTCATCAGAACATTGCCCATAAAATTAATAACAGATTTGTCTGGCCCACACTTAATTACTTCAGGCGACTCAAAGAAGCAAATAAACAAAGTCTCTTCCATATTAAAGTATTTTCTTTTCATTGATGTGGCTGGAATATTGCTTGATGTATTGTGAAATGCCCATTGCAGTTAAGCTCTCGTTTGTTTTCCAGAATGACCTGTCATGGCTTGACCTGAGGCCAGTCAGGGCCAAGGAGATTGCCCAGCTAAGCAACACCCTGTCTGATGTTATTGGTGAGATTTGGAAGAGGAAAACTGCAGTTTGGAATTGTATCATGCAACTGTTAGTTTCAGCTCACCATGACATTGATAAACGAGCTCATGATCTCATGAAAATTAGATCTATAATCGTCCGATAAAAAAGGTGCATGGGAGCTCATAACGACTTGTAGATGAGCAATGTCCAGTGAATATGTTTGGGCTCAAACCAAAGATAAACAAAATAGTGCTGGTAACGCAAGTACATTGGGTTATTTATTCATTCTGAAAATTACAATTGCACTATCAGTATTATTATCTCATTACAAATGTCAAAATTCAAATACTGAACACAGAAATAGTGTCTGTGTTTACATGGAGTAAATATATTTAGAGACTTTGCTCTGGTTCCATGTTTGGAAAAGTTCTCTCACCCTGTTCACAGTCAATCGAATTCATATTTATTCCTAATTTGTCACATAAATTTGATGTGATGTTTTCATTGCCACATTGTTTGCATCACTATTCCTAGCCAGTAAGCTCCTTACATCGCTACTGTACCTGTGTCTGGGTTTGTTACAGACACAGCGACACTGTGTGAGAGTCTGCGGGTCCTGTCTCTGCTGCCCAAAGATGTTGCTTCTAAGTGGAGGATCCATATCTTCACTCAGACTTTTGTAAGTTTTGTGCTGATATTATGAATCAAATTAACGCAGATGTCAGTATTCGAGAATTGTTGGGTGTGAATTTGTAATTGATATGAGATTCAATCTTGATTTCAGGCTGACAGCAGTGCAGATATCCGCCTAGCATCGCTTCAGGTCATGCCAGAATTCCTCTTCAACCTTGGACCTAATGGGAACCATCTGATTACAAACTTCTTGCAGTAAGTCATTTTCATAAGGCTGTAAATCCTGTTGAAACAAAATATGTATGGTCCCCACACATATTTATGTTCTAAGTGGTTTAATTTGCTGTGGAAATGAGTAGTGTCATTTGCTACAAAGATTTCAAATCACATATGTGATACAGAGTTAGTGTATTAAGAATGTTGGTAGAATATGAACAATATGTAATTCACTGTGACTAATTTTCTGACACAACAGTTTTAGTATTAAATACTAAACAGCCAAGTGATCTTCTTATTTGCAGCATCAATCCTTACAGCCAATTCTTTCCTTGCAGCCCTCTCATTGGGGACAAACACCAACCAATTGTTGAAACCCTGGCCACAAATTTAGGGGTCATCACTTGTGTTGTCAGTCGGAAAGCAGTCTTTAAGTGGTGAGTGTCATCTGTTCTTCCACAGTTACATTCTTATCTGAAACTTCTGATGTATAAAAGGTCTCCACAGTGTTTTAACTCGCCTCACAAACATGGGGTCCCGGGGACCTTCAATTATTAGTTTTAGGGGTCCTTGCAGGCATTATGAGGGTCCTGTGAAGTAACAGTGTAGAAAACTGTATATTTTTCCTTATCCTGACTCATGCTCTTTTGCTTGTCTTCTTCTTCTTGCGAACATAGTGGAACACTTGTATCTCCTTAATTGAAGCTCCCTTCAATGTAAAATCACTAATTGGTACTCACCACGAGTTGCCTCCCTTGCCCTTTTGGCGGGAACAGGTGTCGCCACCCTCTGGCCTCATGCTTCACTCTCTCCTTCTTCGGCCAGTGAGCAGGATGTGAGAGCGCCTGTGTCTCCTTACACACTATATCCTTTGGTTTTTTCTTAGTTTATTACCTCTTATAGGTTACTATAGAGGTATAGCTAGTATCCTTCATTAATTTGCATTGATATTTAATCGTGATTTCTACTGTTTATTCACGGAGTTCGTGATTGTTCAGCTAGTATTTACGCTGATGAAAATCTGTACTATTTGCAATTTACGCTTTTTCAATTGCTGACCCGCGATGTATTATGCCCTAGCTGTGCTACTTTGCAGCGCTTGATACACGCTGCAGTTACTGCATTAATCTATCCAATTCTGCTTTTCATAAATATCTTTAAGGCCGCGGAGACGCACCGCAGATAGGTCACGCAAACAAGGGTTAGACATGGCCGATACATCGATTCCCCTTCCAGTCAGCTGCTGTCGATAGACCCTCCCCGCCTGGTGTTTCGCAAGAGACTCCGCCGAAAGATGGGCGCGGATGCAGTCCGCCAACACTAAGAAGCGCCCTGCCTCCCCAGACGCCCCGCCATCGCAGATAAAGTCCAAGAGGGCCACGACGCCTTCCCCAACGCAGACTTCGACCCCAGGGCAGCTGCCGACATCTAAGGGGAAGTCTACGGTCGCCAAGAACTTTCTCAGCCGAGATTGTTCCAGCCGCCGAACTGGGCTCTACGATGATCAGCCGATCATCATCCCTGACGACGCCACAAGAAGCTTACCCGTGACAGCTACAGTGACATCAGCAGAGATCGCCATGCAGCCTGATGCTCTTCTACACTGATGTCAGACGACTTCTTGAGGGGTCAGCAGCTGTCATCGCAGAGGGGCACCGACTACTTCGCCGCAGACCATCCCAGACGAAGCTGTTGCGGCAGATCATGACCATGATGGAGGGCCACTACAGTCGGGAAGCAGCCAGCCCAGGGCCCGAGCAACGAGACGATACCCCAGAGGCACCCCAGTCAGCGAGCAGCCACGACGAAGCAGCCTTCGAGAAGGAAGTCACAGACCACCTCAACGAAGGACGAGATGTACAGTCGTCAAGAGCCTTCACGAAGACGGAGAGATCGCCATCATCCTCGACCTCATCCTCAGATGCAGACTCAGACCACCAGACGCCACGAAACCGTCCACGGAAGTCACGCGCCCCCAGGTCCGGACGCTGAGGAAGCTGCACGGCGTCGCCACACAGATCGCCATCGCCCAGAAGGACGCCGAGGGACTATTCAAGAGCTTCACGGCCGCCAACATTCTCCTCGCAGATCTAGGTCTTCCCATAGACGCAGATCACCTAGACGATCTCCACGCCGCTCACCACGATCTCCACGCATATCACCGCAGGGTCATCACACAAGTCGGCACACAGGTCTACACTCAGGTCTCCCCGAAAGTCACCCGACATAGAGATAGCAGCCCAGAGGTCACCATCAGAAGAGCATCAACCTCTCATCTCCGATGCTGGTACAGAAGATGATGGAGGCATCATCTTCTCAGACGCTGAGATAAGATATTGATGGTAAACAACCTAGATTTATCTTCATCGGCCAAGAGTGGCAACTCAGCGCAGACATACCTGATGAAGGAAGACGATGCAGACGCCATCACCTTACCTCCGATCGAATTCGGATTGCCGCGGTGCCACATAATCTAGATACAGCCTTCATTAAAGCTACATGAAAGTGCAGACTCCACATCTGCCGAACTTTCACGCTTAAGAAGTTCTCCACGCACAACATGGACCCCTTCCTGAAGGCACAAGACATCGATGAAAACTACAAGCTGATCAGCCGATGTTAAGAACAAGAACTACAAGATTGACGATCGCAAGCTGGTGCAGATAGAAAACATGACGAGACGATGTTCTTTGGCCTAAATAGATCTAGAACGATCAATGAGACACTTATCACCAGATTTCTCGTATCATAACCTCTGAAGATGATAGGATGATCTACTCGCCCTACTGATGCAAAAGAAGGACCAGCAGTTCCTTACAGATCATCTCACATCTGTCTCAGCAGCACTGACCTTAGCTCGTCGTCAAGGCCTCCTCGCTTCCTGCAGCTGGGGTGAGAACTTTACAGCTCCACTCTATACAGCCCCGTGGTCATCCCCAAACATCTTTGACGGAGGAATAGACAAAGTCTCCAAGGAAGTCACTAAGGACTCCAGAGAAGTCCTTATGATCAAGTCGATGGACACGCTTAGCAAGCTGCCATCAGGCAGACTTCACAAAGATACTCAGGGAGATCTAAGTTCTCGACTACAGAAAGCACGGATAGGAAGATAGCCAGCGCCAGGGGAAAGATTCTTTTCGCCGCCCATATGGCAACTATAGAGGAGGGTCAGGAAGAGGCAGGACACCCAGAGGTTCCCGCAAACTATAAACGCTGAAAGACAGGTTCGAACGACTGGAGTCTTCCACCCCAGCCGCTCCAGTACAACCGCCACAAGTGGGTGGACGCCTCCAACTACACTGGGAGAACTGGGGAATGTTAAAAGACCCTTATGTCTCCAACATTCTTCAACACGGATTTCAGATCCCACTACAGGCCAAGCCTCCGCTGACAGTCAACCCCTACAAGTTCGACTTACAGGCACAACAACTACCAAAGTTAAGAGAGGCGGTTACATCACTCATAACCAAGCAGGCCATAGAAGTACTAGATCAAGTAGACATCGAACCAGGCTTCTACTCCCCAGTTTTCCTAGTACCCAAGAAAAACTCCAAGGAGAAATACAGACTCATTTACAACATGAGCTTTTTCAACAGGAATTATCTACGAAAACCACCAAAGTTTCGCATGATACACCTTCCTCAGTTACGGCAGTTGATTCGGCCCCATGGATTACATGGCCAGTATAGATCTGCAAGACGCTTATCTACATATCCCGGATACATCCCTAATCCAGGAAATATCTAAGATTTACACTAGACGGGCTACATTACCAATGGAAAGTAATTCCCATTCGGCATATCATCAGCCCCTGGCTATTCAATGAGGATAACGAAAACCTATTGTCACCTATCTACATCGCTCTAGGGCTACGCAGTGCTCTACCTCGACGACGGGATACAAGTAGATCAAGATCCACAGCATCTCAAACTACAGTTAAACTACATCATAAAGCTACTAACACAGCTAGGATGGTTAGTAAACTTACTCAAGTCGGACCTAGTACCATCGCAAGATCTGCAGTTCCTAGGCATTCGATTTATCACTTAATCACAACCGTATCGTCAAGTAGACCAGAAGACCGCTGGCTCAAGATCCAACAGACCATTCCATTAGTTCTACTCTCTCCGCTACCACTACGACAATGGCAGAGCTGCGTTGGGTCTCTACATCAGCCCAAGACATGACAGTCTCAGGCAGATTACAGTTACTTCATTACAGGTCTTCATCAATGCACATCTCGACGACCTACAACCATTCAGTCTACCAAACGCCTCTCAGACCTCATCTACTATGGTGGACCAGGAGGTCAATGTTTGGCGAAGGTATTTGTTTAGAAGAGCAGGAATTCAAAACCCATCTATATGTAGACGCTGCCGCCCAAGGTTGGGGAGCTCATCTCGCCAACCGGACGGCATCAGGGTTATGGAATCAGCAAGAAAGCAAGCTCCATATAAACATGTTAGAGATGAAAGCTGTAATCAACGCCATACTTCATTGGAGCAACATTCTACAGAATGCGACTTAATGATTCATACCGACAACTCGACAGTGGCGCTCTATGTGAACAAACAAGGTTCAACAAGATCACTGAACCTATTGACTTTAAGCTTTCAACTGTTCGATCTAATACACGATCTAAAACCTACATGTCAGAGCATGTCACATTCCCGAGCCAAGAATGTACTAGCAGACGACTCTCTCTCGCCACATCAACCGGCCACCGACAGAATGGATGCTCAATACAGAAATATTTGCACAGATAATCAAGCAAATAGGAGCACCGCTAGTAGATCTATTCGCGCAACACGCTTCAACAATCAGCTACCGACATTCGTGTCACCAGTCCCAGACCCACAAGCATGGGCAACGGATCTTAAGCATATCCTGAAGGCCTCACGCGCACGCTTCGCTTCCGCCGCCAGCAATAATACCTCAAGTGTTACAGAAAATCAGACAAACACAGAGCCTCCAACTCACTTTGGTCACTTTACTGGTCAAGCCAGAACGTGGTTTCCCATTCTAATTCAAGAAATCGGTCAACCAACACTAGAGCTACCCAAGCTAAAATCTATTAATACATCCACACACCAAACAGGTGCACGGAAGCCCAGAAGTATTCCAACTTCACGTGATGGACTGTATTAAAATGTGTTTAAACAAGAGAGGGTATTCTACCAGGGCGCAAAAGCGGTCACGCTTTGCCTTTACGCTATTCTACACGCAACTTGTACCATACAAGTGGCACAGTTTTGAGAATTACGCAGTAAATAAGGGATTTACAGCAAGAGATGCTACTCATCCACAAGTGGCAGATTATTTGTGTTACTTACGGCAAAACAAACATTTAAAAGGCTCGACATTGTCAACATATCTTGCCGCTGCTTAGTTCTGTCATTACCATGAGAACGGGTGTTAGATTAACAAGAACTCCAGAGTTACTGGCCTTACTACTGGCTTTCCGATTGAGGACCAAAAGCGGAAGTTCCACTTCCAGCTTGGGATCTGAATATAGTGTTGCAACACCTCACAAGTGAGGCTTATGAACCACTGGAATCGATAAACTTTGAGCTTCTCTCACAGAAAACGCTTTTCCTGTTATCTCTAGCCACAGCAGCCAGGATGTCGGAAATTCACGCACTAGATTATGAGAGGATACAGTTTGATGACAATCAAAACACAGCACACCTGGGATTAAGATGGATTTCATCGCCAAAAATCAACTACCAGGTCAACCAGACAGGTTATTTCATATCCCTGCATTATCCTCCATTCTCGATCTCAAGATACACTGGACTTATCTCTATGCCCAGTCAGAGCTCTCAAAATCTATTTACGACGCTCCAAAACAAGGCTTAAGATTTCTCAAACGATTATTCATTCCTTGTCGGCAACAACTCAGACAGAAGTCTCGCACTCACCATATCTATATGGATAAGAACTGTCATACTTCTCACCTACAAGGCAGCAGGACTGGACCCTCCAACAGCATCAAATCCCCATGAAATCAGGGCTGCTAGCTTCCACTCTCGCCTTACACGGTAACTGTTCTTGAATACAATTATGGAAGGATGCTTTGGAAATCTAACATGGTGTTTGCTAATCACTACCTGAGATATCACCACCGAGGACGCCTCAGGCATTCACCATTTCGGTCCCTTGGTCCTCGCACAGCAGTTGACAGTCCCTCGTAAACGCTAACACGAAGTCTTCACGAGATTAATATGCATAATTGTTACATGCATTATCTAGCTTATAACTCTCACGGAGTTCTAGCAGTATGTATATATGTTCAATGGTATAGCTTCTCTATCAGAGTCGCTTTGATATTGTTGTTTATAATATCTCAGTATATCATAATGTAAATACCCCAGTATGGCATTATAACCTATGGCTTATAATAGAGGAATTATCCTAAGTCTATGCCTTTATGAAGTTCCCGTGAGGGGTTATTACAGTTACATCTATTTAAATCACTAATTCTATAAATCCAAAGTATTCTGTTTTGCCCACCTCCGCTTCCTCAGAGGATTCTACAAGCAAAGAGCATGAGTCAGGATAAGGAAAAAATATGTAATTTTTGAGTAAAATTGATATTTTATACTTATCCTGACTCATGAGGTTAGCCCTCCCATCCTCCCCACATAACACTTTGGATTTCCCCTGTAAATTCAAGTGTTGGGCTCGCAAAATCAGGAGAGAGTGAAGCATGAGGCCAGAGGGTGGCGACACCTGTTCCCGCCAAAAGGGCAAGGGAGGCAACTCGTGGTGAGTACCAATTAGTGATTTTACATTGAAGGGAGCTTCAATTAAGGAGATACAAGTGTTCCACTATGTTCGCAAGAAGAAGAAGACAAGCAAAAGAGCATGAGTCAGGATAAGTATAAAATATCAATTTTACTCAAAAAATTACATGTTTCTATAATTTCTTTAGAGCCTGGAATGAATCATTGATCATTTGGACTGATGGATGAAATGATGCCCGTAACTGCTCTGAAAGAAACAACCAAACATTTAGCAAAGTCATAGATGTGTTGTGGGTACAGTGAATAATAATATATCAATATGTCGTTTTCCTGAGTTTATCCTCTACATATTGTGCGTACTGGATGCACAATTGCACGTCGTGTATAACTCTGTCTCTATAAAGTTTGCCACATCCCTGATGGATGTGGTGTAACACAAATGACTGTGATAATTGTGCATGTGATGAGGTGCTGGTGGGATGTAGACACCATGAACTGGTTCACTAGCTGCAGTACCTTCCTCAGAGTGGTCTCAGAACAACTGTGTCTTATAAAACACAAAATGAAGCCATTTGAGGAGGTTGTGTTTAAGAAATATTATGAATTATTTAGCTTTGTTTAGTATGGCATTGTTTTGGAGTGTTTGAATTTTTGAATAATATTGTGTAAAAAACTTGGCACCAATACTAAGGCTGATGGTGTTTTTAGCTTTGTCAGCACCATGCCCAGGGGTTTCGTCAAAGTGGCAAACATCACTATGGTTTTGCTCCCACATCAAGCTGACATGCTTTGATAAAAATGAATTGTTGTCCAAGGGGGCATGGGACCAAACTCGCTCACACCAAACTCAATGCTGGTTTATGAAACGTGACTGACTGACTGAGTTTGGTTTTACGCCGCTTTAAGCAATATTCCAGCAATATCACGGCGGGGGACACCAGAAATGGGCTTCACTCATTGTACCCATGTGGGGATTCGAACCCGGGTCTTCAGCATGACGAGCCAACGCTTTAACCACTGGACTACCCCACCGCCCCTTATGAAAAGTGCCAAGGTTACACACTATTTGCTTTGAAAGTGAGGTTGGTTTCTGCTGATTGCCAGTTTTCCATGTGTATGTGGCAGTTATCATATCAGTAGTTACCGGGGTATGTTGGTTTCAGTGGTGACTACTCGGCGGTCTGTGACCCCCTGTACAAGAGGTTCAGCATCAGGTGCGCTGTGTGTGACGACTTGCAAGGTGAGACGAGGGAGGTTGTCATGTCAGAACAGATTAATGCTATTCTTGAATTAATGAGCTTTGAACATGTGGGTGATATTTGCTTACTTTGTATCAATACATGTAAGAAAGAGATAGGTTTGGTCAAGCGGTGATTGGCCTGAAATGTTCTGCAAACCTTGCATGGCTGTGAGTATCACAGTCAGCACCATACAATTCAGTGGTATCACAACAATCTGCATTACCTTGGCCATGAGCTGATATACACTTAACAGCTACATTAAACCTACTTATAATCACTTGCTCACCAATTCGGACCACTCACTCACTCACTCACTCACTTCTGTATGTAGCCGCACATACACATACACACGCATGCACGTCGTCATATGAGCGAAAATATTCTCAAGCACGACGTTAAATCCAATTTCACCTCACCTCACCTCACCTCACTTCTGTATGTTGCAGGAAAGACTGACGGATGCAGCTCTCAGAAGGAGAGGTCAAAGAGTGTTGACCCAGCTCTATTCAGTCCCTTCCTGCAGCTCCTGGAGATAGGTGATGTGACTATAAAGAAAGGTAGGACAACCTCTGTGCCCTCATTGGATGTTTAGTGAAGGTGTTCGTCTTATCACTCAAATGACATAATGCTAAAAATTTGTGAATGAAATATAGTTATAGTAGTTATCGAGGTGATGACATCACTTCAGAAATTAATCTGTGACGTGGAATGGGTTCTGGGGATTGAGGTGATGACATCACTTCCGAAATTAATCTGTGACATGGAATGGGTTCTGGGGATTTGTACTATTAGCATGGAGAGATGATACTCATGAACATGATGAGAGGTTCGAATGTATTGTACAGTGACAAGATATTTAATGCATTTGCAGTCTATTTTGGATAATTCTGCAGTGAGATTCTGTTGTGAGTTTAAGATCCATGTTTATCAGTATACATGTTTTTTAGCTTTCATCAAGAGCATAAGACAGATGTTCAGCCACATCAGCATTCGTGCCCACAACCAAATCACAGTGGCTATGTTGAATCAGTGCCTTGGCCTTGTAGAAGACACAGACCACCAAGTTAGGACACGTTTCAGGTGATTCTGATGCAGAGTTGAATTCCAAGATCTTACATGGATTGGCTTGAATGTTCATAGATTTCATCAAAGTTGAAAGAGTCTAACACAAGTAGCACTTTGGAATTTCAATGTTTTACAACAAAGTGGAAACATTAAAACATTAACAAAATGCCTCACTACACTGACAATATAATAGCAGGCATTTAAGCTGTAACTACATAACAAACTGAAGAACCAAACACAGAATAATTTGTTGATTAGATTCAGACAAAAAGAGGTACCGTATATGACCGTCTATAAGCCGAATTTTGAGGACCAATCAAAGCAGTCTGTAGAAGGGGGTCGTCTTATCCATGGGTTACGCTATCGTCAAACTTTTTTCCAGGGGTAAGAAAACAACATCGTATCACTTCGCGTGAACAAACAACAGAAGACGACTTTGTCAGTAGAGACGTCAAATTTGCAATTAAACATCACTAGACAAGATTATTTACCTTTTAAGTTATAAGTTGTTTTTGCTGGGCATTGTATTATTTGCAGGGATTAAGATTACCGTGCGTATTTGTCTCGCATACAAAGCCGAAATAGCAATCAGCTGTTCACATCGCTTCCGGCTAACAAGTTCAAACATGCACAATAATATAACGGGATCTAATTCTGACGCAGTCATCAGTAAAATATAATACAGAATACCATTATGTAACCCAAAGAAATATATCCTAGCATTGTGGAATTTTAGTTACAGTTTTTGCTCTATAAATTAATTAAGATTACCGTGTGTATTTGAGCCGGAAATAGCAATCAGCTGTGCACACGATTCCCGGCGAACAAGTTCAAACATGCACAATAATATAACGGGATGAATTCTGACGCAGTCGTCAGTAAAATATAATGCAGAATACTATTAATTAACCCAAAGAAATATATCCTAGCATTGTGTAATTTTATTTACAGTTTTTGTGTAAAATATATATAATCAACACTAAGGTTATACGGACCCTCATGAACGTGGTAAGCACATGGAATGGGGTAGGAAGCCATTTAAATTCACACATTTTTACCGATGTTACTGTAAACTAGCAGTCAATGGTAAACGAAGCGGTTCATGATGGTTGAATGGGGTAAAATAAGCAAGCCAGTTTGTTGCTACAATAAATATGATATTTAGAGAAGCAAAATATATTATGCATTTTCTGTCAACTACACTTCGTTTCGATCCGTGAGTAGACACAATATACGACTGTGAATTCTTTGAATAATGTGGACCAAAGTTATAATTATTGGTAACTGCCAGTTGTCTGTGGTCTGTGTTTGCCGCGATTAGGACCCCATCGCGGGGGATCGACTTATGCACGAAACATACCATTTTGACACTGATTTTAAGGGTCAAGTTTGGGGGTCGTCTTATCCATGGGGTCGTCTTTTAGACGGTCATATACGGTAACTCTTTGCACCTCTAGCTAGCCAGACAACAAGCTGAAATGCGACTATATAACAAAATACTGTTAAAAATTTAATTACTGTTCAAACCTGTGTTACAGCAGTGTCACAAATGGTACAATGTTTCAGCGAGGTGATTCAGCACCTCCTGGGAGAGGAAGTGGAAGGAGAGAAGAAGGGAGGCGTGGATAACATCATAATGAACCGACTTCAGCAGGTGTACTTCCAGGCCCGGTCTGACAGCAATATCAGGCTCCAAGAAACTGTACTGTACACCATCGGGCAACTGGGAAGGTAGGTGGACTCTTAGACCTGATTAGTTATTCAATTTTATGAATCTGAAAAATTCATTCCACCAGTTTCATGCCTCTTGCTGAATTGATACTTCTTATTATTTAAACAAGTGATTTAGTATATGGCTGTCCCACACTTTTTGTTAGCTAAGAGATGTCCAGAACCACTGCATGAACTTGCTCCCAAGGTGCTTCAGGGATTTTCCAATCAGCTTCATATAATGACCTTGACCTAATTTTTGTTGTTGGCAATATATTTGAACAATTATTTTGCTGTAGTCCACAGACTAGTGACCTTGACCTTCAACTTCATAAATAATGATTGATCAGGTGTGAAGGTCACTGAGTCTGCAAATCCCCTACTGGATTATGGAAACATTGTTACTTTCGGGTCACAGTTATCTTCGGCCTTAGTTGGATTTGTACATTAGGAACTATTTACAAGTTATTTTGAAAATATTGTCTGTCCTTTTGTGCATCAGGAGATTTTTTGCATAAAAACATTCTTGTCTGATTATATTATTTTGTAGAACAATCTTTTCTTTGTCTTTAGATGAGAGACTTCTATAAAAGATCAATAAATTTTTATCAACAGATAGTAAATAATTTCTTGAAAAGCCCACCCTTTGAAGTAGAACTGCGAATTAATGTTACAAGTTCACAAGAACTGAATGTTCTCAACGTCCTCTCTGCTTCTCAGAGTCGCAGAGAAGGACATCCTCCTGGTGGTGCTGGTGAGCTTGCTGGAGAGCCTGCTGTCTGCCATTCCACTCACTGCTGCCACGGCCTACCACGAGGTGAGACATGTGCTCACACTGATATAAGTATACCCTGCCTCATGGCAACAGTCAGTGTCCAGATCTCTGTAATCTCTGCAGGTCAAGCTCCTACAGCAAGACATGGAATAAAGTATATTGACTGTCACTTTGATGTCATTTTGACATCTGGATTTCACCTGGCAACATTGCATCTAAATCTGAAATATAAACATGCAGTTATTATGTTATGCCTTCAGGAAATATCTACAAATAAAATCGTATTACCCATGGTATACCTGGAACTTATGATACAAACTAACGTGTTTATGTTCACATTATTTGTGTTTCAGTTACATGCTATTGCTGATCATAAGAAGATGAGCACCCAGAACCTTTTAAGCAAGTTCCGACAAGGCATATGCAAGGTATAAGTGGATGATATAAAGAAGTTAAGGCATTTTTGTAGCTCACCCAGGGATAGAAATACTTTCTTTTCTAAGTGTGCCTTAGGGCACCAGACAAATATTTTAGGTGTGCCTTTCAGAAATCAAGTGTGCCCACATGTTTTTAGAATATATGACAATGATGATGATCATTTGAAATATATTGTTAAATAAAGAAATGGGTTTATGAGCATTCAAATATGTATGGTATTATTCAGTTTGGAAAAAAATAATTGTTTGGGGGATTAAATGACTAAATGTGAGTTATGTCTCTAAAAAATTAAGCGTGTCAAAAGGGCACCGAGAGCATTTTTCAGCCGTGCCATTTCAATATTTACTGTGCCATGGCACACTAATATATGGGGTATTTCGAACCCTGTCACCTGTCCTGAAAGGTGTCATTTTAGTCTCAGTATAATTCTCAAAGGGTCTTGATGTTTAGTGGTCTAAACATGTCAGCCGCAGGATTCAGTTTCAGATACTCGTACTTTGAGAAATGTTCCTGTCCTGATGTATGGTTTTCCTGTCACTGCCTTGTACAATCGGGATGATTGTTGGTTGTTGATACAGCCTAGTACATATTCCAACAGCAAGTTACAAAGTCTCGTCATGCATTCTGATGTTGTCGCCCAGAGCTGTGTGTCACCTACTCCATCCCACCCTGGACTGATGGATAATCACACATGGGCCACTTCTTTGCTCCCTCATTGTCTCATAAAGTGTCAAGTTGAAGCCTTGAAATGTATTAACAACCATTGGCTATTAAAGACCTGAAAAAGCCATTAGTGTAAATTTTTCTTTTCGATCACTGACACCTGTATTTTTGACTGTAGCTGGTCTTGTCTTTTTGAGTTTTATGTACACTTGTACACATGTTTGTCTTATTCTAATCAAAAAGTTGTTTTCCTTCTCAGTTTCTGGTGGAAGCCATGCACGATGCAGCCACAGGAAGCGGGGATAACACCCCAGAGATTATACTACACAAGGTGGCAAGGGCTCTCAAGTACCAGGACGTCAAGACCTTCCTGCAGGTAGCCATTTGTTCAGCATAACAATCGGGAAGATAACTCTGCAAAGTGTAGGGCAGACAACTCAGACTTGTCAGTGAGACCAGTAGTACTTTAACAGTGTTTTACTGCAGCAGCGATAACAACCATAGCATCATAATGAATAACTTTTGAGTTGTGACACTGAATAAAAAAATTCAATTCAGATATTTGTTTACAAGTTTGATACTTTTCACTTGTCATTAAAACTATTGATTGTGTTCAATTTGTGTCTGTTTTAAACATATGGTATGTACTTAAAGAATGAACCATGGAATATCTCTGGTGTCATGAAATGTTGGTAATAACAGCATTAGACCTGTTTCATCACTCTGCTGAAGTAATTGATCCGAAATTGTTTTCAAGATAAATTACACAAGTTGGTATTTTTGTCTAGATAAATATGACAGTGTCAGAATGTGTTAAACAGTCTGTTGCCATGGTTTCAGGGGTCTGAGAAGCACATCGTCCCATTCCTTGTGAGTAAGGCCACTCCAGTCGCCTCAAACCTCCTGAAGATGATCTCCACACTCCTGAATATAAATGTAAGAGATCGGTGAAACTTGCAGTGACAGCTATCAAATCTTGTCTTGTAATTGGTTATAGTGTGTCCTTTCCGTCAGATCTGTCTTGCATCTAAAGGACATTACCTTACGTTCCAGACACGACGTCTCCTCCTGGTGCACAACATGAAGTACATCTTCTCCTATCTGGTCAGACTTTGCCAGGCCGCTGAGCTGGAGAAAGCTCTGGCATTTCTACAAGTGGGTACAGACATCGTTTTACAGAAACAATTTGATCTTGATCAAACCTGTTCACAGAGATCCTTCTTTTTTCGGAGAATAGCCTTATCATGCACAGGCTACAATTACTCTTATCTCAGAAATCATAGAGATTGCACATATCCTGATGAATACTGATATTAGCTCTTGGGCTCAACATAAACCACAGAAGTCCTTGACATAGCCTTAATATTGATTGTACATATTTAAGGGTCCAAAGATTCCAATACTAAACACTGAACTTGAGTGGAAAACCTCCTGGGCCTCCTTTCACAAAGCACTAAGGTGATCGTAAGTCACTAAGGTAACCTTAGTGCAATGTTAAAGAATGGGAGTTAAGGTTAACCTTAGTAAAGGTTGCTTCGTGAAAGGAGACCCTGGACCACAGAAATAAGCTTAATCTATCAGACTGAAATGTATGACTGAGAATGGGGTATAGATGTTGAATGAGCTGCGAGTGGTTGAGTATGGTGTTAACTGAACGATGAACGTGGGCCAGGTAAGGGTGACTTGATGCAGATGGAATATTTTGCTTATGACTCAGGGGTGGAAATAACCCATTGCCCGACGTCCGAGTCCAGTGTTTTTTTCTGTCGGGCAAGCAAATTTGTATATCACACTGTACCGGTGTCCAGTTGACTTTCCAATGTTTATTATGTTGTTAATTTAAAAAATCAGCAAGAAAACGGTTGGTATAGTGGGAAAATAATCAGGGCAAGTGACTTTACATGTGCCACTGTACCAGAGTACACTAGCAATTTTAAACTTATTTCCACCCCTGTGACTTCATGTTTCACACAGAGTGAGGCCAACATGGACCTCGGCAAGCTGATCCGCCTCGATTTCCAGCGGCTTCACAACGAGCTCCTGCTTCATCTCAGCTCCAACTACCAACAGGTATGACATAGATATCAAACAGACTCAGATCAATATGAAATATGACAATGTCATTGTTAGGAGACAGACACCATCGTTAGTATTGGGACCAGTAACTGGTGGCCCCCTTGGTGTGTAGAGAAACTGATTATCAAGGGTTCATATCCTGTTTTGAGCTGATTTTGTTACTGTGTGAAAACCGTACCAGTGTTTCATGAACGTACTAAACATCTAAGACCACCACCATTTTGGGCTTTCTTCAGCTCACACACCATGATACAACTGAAACACAATTCAATGTGATGTAAATCCCAACTTGCTTTTGCAATATCAAAAAACACAGACATAATCTTGACAGTATGTTAAACGTCTGGAGGAAAACGTTTTATCTTCAGCATGTTATGAATTGAGGTCCAAAATGCCCATATTCAAATGTTTTTAATTGATACAAATCCTCTTAGCATGTATATTTTTCCTTATCCTGACTCATGCTCTTTTGCTTGTCTTCTTCTTCTTGCGAACATAGTGGAACACTTGTATCTCCTTATTTGAAGCTCCCTTCAAAATAAAATCACTAATTGGTACTCACCACGAGTTGCTCCCCTTTGTCTCCCCAGGCGGGAAAAGGTGTCGCCACCCTCTGGCCATGTGCTCCACTCTCTCCTTCTTCGCCCAGTGAGCAGGATGTGAGCGCGCTTTGTGTCTCCTTACACACATATCCTTTGATAATTTCTTAGTTTTACCTCCTCATAGGTTACTATAGAGGTATAGCTAGTATCCTTTA